ACATCAAACAAAAACCGATATTCCAGTAACTGATAGAAAAAAAACCTGTTGCTGACGTCGCCAAATGCCGCCACAAAGAAATTTTGCAGCCATTATCATTAGAAATGTAAATGAAATCGAGAGTTTTTGATCGCAGCACCTTGAGCTATCAATTAGAGCCATGGAACAGTAACAATAAAATTTAACAATGCACAATAGAATAATTCAGCTTAAACAATACATACATAGTTGGATCTCACGCTGTATTTTATTGTTTAGAAATATAATAAATGAGTCCGTGCTAAAAAGGTGGAGATCACATCACCTCAAGCTATCAATTGGAACTATAAAGGGCACAGCAACATTACAAAGAAACAATACAAATGAATGAGATATTTCAGTTGAAATAAAGCATTAGACAGAAATATAATATATATATATATATATATACTGAGCCTATGTTTGCATTTTCCTTAAGGCAAATATTTGATATTTGATCATTAAATTTCCAATATTGTCATCAGAGCTGTTGCTCCCTTCACTTTATAAACAATTCGTTTTCGAGCAGTCTTTTAATAGAAAAGTTTATAAAAATAAACATACTAGAACTATGTATTTCTATTTCTTTCAGTTCCTGTTTAGATAATTCAAAAAGATATAATATATATATATGAAGTCTGGAGATAATAAGAAAAAGAAAAATTGAACTCTTAATTTTACACGTTTTTTTAATAAGCCGTATCGTGTAAGTCTTATGAGTGAATGTGAGGGCCATCTTTTATTAACCTTTGTAGGGTCACTCATTCAGAACAAGTTCTGCTGCTTCCTCGTTCCTGTTCACATAATCTGAAGATTTTCATTTATGATTGGTTTAAATAAGTATATTGTGTTTAATATACTAAGCATGTTTAAACATTTATAAAACTTAATTTGAATTGTTTATGGTGCGAGTGACCTTAACGCGTACACCTACGTCTGTCTCTTTTGCCTTGTTCTAGATATTTCGTTTCATTGTTATTGTTCAGATGGCCGGTATTTTAATTAACGATCACCATTCGCAGACAATTTTTATTGCTAAATTATGTGAACAAATTTAACTTTTTAGATTTTTTCTTCTATTTGCCTTTTCTCCAAACCAATTTGCACAAATTCAAGGTGTTTGTGTACGTCTGTATATTTGACCAACAATTTAAAACATAAATTTAGCAAAGCACGACATATATGCAAGCTGTTCCTCTTAAAAGTCTCAAATAAATAATACTACATAATACTAATAATGCTTCCTACGTACAATTTACAATATGAAATTTGCCTTTTTCCGGCAATTTCGCGCGGGCGTAGCATCTGACGTGAGTCTGGGCTCTGACTCTGGTAACATCACCATCAATAATTGTTAAATAGAGGGAGACGACCAACAACAACAAAAGCCACAACACCATACCGGTATTCATGTGTATGTGTGTGAGTTTGTAAGATGTCGTGCTTAGCCTTGAATTTGAACTTGGCTAAGACAACAACACAGTGCGCGTCTGTTGACGTCTGTGGGTTGTAAAAGCTATATGCTTATATTGTTATTGTGTTTAATTTTTGACTGCCTTACTTTATTAATAGCATACTGTAATGCAGCTTGGGAGAATCATCTAATCATTTCTAATTCAAAATAAAATATGAGTAGATCTTGTCGCACGTTGAAAAAGCATTTTATTAACTAGATTTTGAGCGATGTATTAGTTGAAGCAGATTTTTGTTTATCAATCTTATTCGCTTCTTTTGTGACTCACATTATGAATGTATAAATGTCTTATTAATGTTATTATCTAATTGAGCTATCATGTCCACACAATTAACTTCTACAACAAACAACCAGTTACTACCCATAACTGCATTGCTTAAGAATACATATGTATATAGCATTCAAAACATATAGTATGCATAATACGAGGAGCTAACAAAACCAGTTTCAATTTCTTTGGAAAAGAATTTAAACTGCGCCAAATGTCCATCTGCTTGGGATTATATGAACGCTAAGGTTCTCATAATTACTAAGTTTTTTTATTTAAATTTAGAAACGAAATATGTCGATGCACTGTGGTTTATGACTTTAAGACATATACATACATATACCTCAGCTATATACTATACAGCTTATCCAAATTACAAAACAAGAAATGCTGTTCTTTCTTTAATTGTCTTTTAACCTCGTATGTCTTATGTTGAATTATTGTATTGATATAAAACATATTAGGAAAAGCATTTAATACAACAACTTAATCAAATACTTTAAGATCGTAATCACTTTTACGAGTACCTAAAAGAATCAGACAACCATGTGTCATCCCATATTGCCAGTGTCTGGCATAAATCAAATGAAATTCTACGGTAATCTCCACCATATATCTATTCCTTTCAAAAAAAACAATTTAAAAAAAGACCCAAAATGTAACTGAGAAACTTTAAATGCCAAAATTTGCAAACCCAATCCACTTAAGATGCGCGACACACTTTTCAAACGGGGTGTGAACGGCAAATCTTTGAACTCTGCTCGTCAAGACAGGCAGAAAACGCCTGCGACATACAAATTCAGCTAACAGACTCCAAAATTGTGCCATGAATAAATGAAAGACAATACTGCCAAATTGTTGTTGCTACAACTATGAATTTTGGCCCAGCTGTCGGCTTGAAAGCGATCGTTTCCTCTTGGCAGAAATGAAAAACCATCAAACCACAACTTCTGCCAAGTGAGCGAACGCGACGTGCGATTGACGTCTTCCGAGTGTCTGACATTTTGAAAAGCGCATACGCCCTGTCTGGCAGGCGCTATCATTGAATTCAACAACAACAACAACAACACAAAATAGTAAAAACAAAAACAAAACAAACAATCAACAATAATCAAATTAAAATGTAATATGCAAAATCAAACAATACCAAGCCCGAATCCCTGCCTAACAATGCTCCGTTGAACCTGCGGTCTAAGGTGCTTCGAACAAATATGTATCTACTTGTATGTATATAGTACTTATGTATATACAATCGGACAAAATTAGGCAAATGCGCTGATATCGTCTGATTTCCTCAAACGCTTCAACGAGCGCCAATGCTGCTTGATTTTGTAATAATTCATGGACTGTTGGAATTTGTGGCACACAGCCACGCCAATTTAAAGTATATTCGTACAAATAATGTTTGTCTGTTTGTGTGGGTAATTGTGTTTGTGTTTATTTATTGTTGTTGTTCCTTTTGTGTATAATTTTGATTTTTTGCACTGCTCGCCAAGTCACCAAAAACGCATGAAAATGAAAGTGTTTGGTCGCTGGTATTTCACTTTTGTTCGCTTTTCAATTTAATGGCTGGCTGCTGGTTGGCCTCTCGTTATGCGCTTGTGCCTGGATTTACGTAAGTGGCATTGAGGCCCTAAATATATTATGCAACTTGTTCATTTTTTGTACTCAGCTCAGTTGAAAATTCAAACCAGTTGTTTTAAAAATATGAGTATAATACTTGTTCTTATGAAGGAACAACTGCAAGTGAACTTGTGGACTCCAAATTACAGATTATGTGATGAAGCTTCTACTCCCTTCAATTCTACTTCGCACACTTTGTTCACTTTTTTGCATTTTGTTCCTTTATGTTTCAATATTCATTATCATTGCTGAATGATAAATTCAACTCAATAAGTACTATACATATACCTGCACGCCTTACTACTTAAAAGAAAACACTTAACACAACTAATATTAGCTTATTTAGTATTATTTATATTTTATATTGAATAAAATAAAACTAATAAAAAACGATTCTGATACATTGAAGAAACCTAAAGTAGAAACCATGAAGACTTATATTTGCTATCTGAAAAATTCACTTTCAAATATTTAATTGATAATCAATAATATTACATGGTGCATTTTTTAGATACTAAGGCTTCTCCAGCTTATAAAGCTCGACGGTCAATGTTTGTTGATAAATAAATAAATATTGCAATTCCTATTAACTATTTGTGTACCTTTTGAAACTACTGTCCTGGTTCCATTATAACTAGACAGCTTGTTCAATTATAAAATTGCACCTTAACATGCCGATTGGGAGGTGAACTGTAAAATATTACACAAACAAACTATCCAAATAATTTGCTAGTCTTCAATTAAAATGTCTCAAACAAATAAAATTCCTGAAATTCAGCGTTTTACTACAGCAAACTTATTTGGGAATTACTTTTCAAAAACGGTTTACAAAACAAAACAAATTTTTGTGGGAATTGTTAGCATATCTGACAGCAGCTTCCGCCAATTCTAAACCAGCTTCTTTATTTGAAAAAATATATTCGGGGACTTCGATTACCATTTGCGACCATAACTTAATACTAGCGACATGATTTTTTTTGACTGATTTGGCGATCTTTTAATTGCCGCTATAAGTGCAGACGTAACTGTCTGATTATGACTTAGTATTTCTTCCCTGATTCAGTGTTTGAAAGTATTGCTCAGATAATGAAATTTCCAAAACCTATTTTCACAAAATTTCACTTCTTGGATTTTCCAATTCGAAATGTTAATTTTCTACCGAATAAAAAGAAACGCTCAGAACACTTTCTACAGCCAAATGCAGCGACATTATTCCTCTTTGAGCCGCCCTCAAACAACAACAACAATACCAGCAAACCATTGTCTGTACTTCACGAGTAACGCTAATCAAGTGAGGTGAGTGCAGTTATGTGTGCCCCTTGAGGCGCACGCGTGCCCAAAATTTTAAGCGGATTTCTTATTCTCAATGACCACTTGGTGGTTCGGATTTTGCGCGGTGCGAGAGGCGAACAAAAAATTTACAAGTACAATGACTTTTCCAACAGACAAGGCATATACTTGTATATAGACAGCCATAAATCTTCTTCTTTTTATTTGCTTTCAAGGAGTGTCTTATCATTAGCGAATTCTTGCATTTATTACGAGGTGTTTCAGAATTTACATAATAATAATAAAGTGTTTGATGTATCTCTTTGTTTCCAGGGAAGCCAGAAACGAAAAACGAACAGCAGAAAAACCATCAACATGAAAAGGGCCAAAAGTTGGCTGTTTATGGCAGCGACAGGTGAGTAACCCACACAAAGAGATCAACACAGGCCAGAAAGAAAGGTCTTGAAAGCGGCCAGCAGTAGTTGGTTGTTTTTTTAATATCTTTCTTACAATTGTCGACGGATTGTGGCATAGCTGCTACCGTGACGTAATGGCGTTGTCTTCGGTAGAGGAGCCAAAGGAAAAGGCTAAAATATCTTACTACACAGTCCGGTTGCATAACTAGTTAATTGTGATTACATCAATATTTTCAGTGCTACTGTTAAGTGTGCTCGCCTCGACGGATGCTGCGCTGCCATTCAAGAAAGTCTCCATCGCAAAAAATTCTGCCTCCACGACCACAACAACAACAAGCACCACAACAGGACCCACCGAAGCGGCAGGCGATGATGAAGAGGCGCGAGAACCCAGCAACGATACTGATGAGGGCAAGGTAAGTGTTAACTAATTATTGATTAAAAAAAAAAACCTTTCGAGCACTCCAGAAAGCGTTGAAACAATTGACCACAAAACTATTGTCGATTTAAATTAATATTTTCGCTGGATCAGATAATGCAACACATGTGTATTTATAACCTCTACCCGAATAATTAAAAACTGTAAAAACCAAATTCATTGACAGGATATAAAAGAGTCGGGTTTTAAAAAATAAAAAGAGGATTCTTTTGCGAGACTTCTCGTACATCAGATCAGAAGTACTCTTATAAAAAGAAAATGTTTGAAATAAATAATCTAAGCAATCAAGGGTTCATACCCTGCATAATTTTTAAGTTAATTATCAAGTTTTAAGCAGAAATGCAGATGTTAAATTCCTCACCATTAAAATATCAGTTTCTAATCTCGTCTACAGAATAATAGAAAAATAGAATCGAGCTTAAGCTACATGTATATTTTAGACCTGAAGAAAACCTGTACTAAGCACAAACGGTTCATTGCCCAAAATTTTATCTAAATTTCCAGTCTACGAATTCCACGCTCTCGACAAAGGATTCTAAGCTAACGGGTATACCTCAGATTGACTACATATGGGACCCTAATTTGCCACGCGAATTGAGGGGGTAAGCTATGCGAATTATAATTAAATTCAACCTGATTACTCAACTAAATTGCATTCATTGTCCTACAGATACAACTTGTCCAGCTATCCCTTCCTGTCAACCGTACCAACGGAGGACGATATACACTTTAAGTGCGAGGGTCTGCACGATGGCTTCTATGCCTCAATCGAGTACAAGTGCCAGGTAAGTGATTGACCTTCAATCGCACCATGCTGGTGGTTACCAGCGACGAAGTGGCCATAATTCATATGCAGTAATTTCTCTTTGTTGCCGACTCTTGCGCCGGTTTACGTGCAGACCCAAACTTGTTTGCGTGTCGATCTTGACCTCAAATTAAATTTTGTGTGCCGTCGTGATTTTTCCTTCACCCCTCGCCCCCGAAAAGAGAGTCGTTAAAGAGCAGCACATACGCCCATTAGACATTAATAGATTATCGCATGGGGTTTTATTATTGCAGGTCTATCATCATTGCGTTTATGGCATACGTCACGATTTTCTGTGCGCAAACTTCACGGCTTTTGATCAACGAACCTTTATTTGCCACTTTGTATCCGATGTGGACTGCGAGGGTTCGCAAAAGTACTGGAATAGGTATGGATGCAGTGCGCCGTATTAGATCCAAAATAATTGCTCTTTAACTGTTGCCTCTCGTAGGAACGATGAACTCTACATGGCCACAACCACTACGTCGACAAGCACTACAACCACAGAGCCGCCGCCCACACCACGCCGAAGTGCGATGCGTCCGAGGCGACCGTTGAGACGTCCATACAATCGCAGACCCATCGATGATTACTACTACGACGAGGAGGAATATGATGACGATTATTATGAGGAACGCTTGAATCGCCGCCATAAGCCTAGACCGCGACAGCGCAAGCCCGTGGATCTTGACTACGATGATGAATACGATGATAAGCGCAGCGAGGAGAAGCCACGACGCAGTGGGGGGCGCAATCGTTATCGAGGCGAAGATGATCTCGACGATGATTACGAAGACCGTCGAAATCGACAGCGCGCACGTCCAGGAAAAGCCGGAGCAACTGCTGAGCGGCGAAAGACCGCAGGTTCCCGAAAACCAGCACGTGGCGGGGATGAGCGTCGCAGCTTTACTGAAGAGAGACTGCGCAAAGACAAAGTAAAGCCGCTTGTGGACGATACCGCCGACGATTCTACAAGTGCTCGACGATCAAGCGGCAGACGCCGCAGTAACGAGAAGCGTCCTACCCCCTCCACATCTGCGGCCCTCGACGAGCTGGACGATTATGAGCGACCTTATGGTGTAGATCAGGAGGAAGCTGCCGAAGAGGATGCACCACAAAAGATAAAGACCACACCGAAGCCATTGGAAGAATTTATAACACCTAAGGCGGCTCCATCCTCTGTCTTCTCACGTCCACGTGCACCACCTCGCATAGCCCGCCCTGTACCCATCAATGAGAAAAAGAAGTACGAGTATCCGGTCCAGAAATCTACAGCCACAACTTCAGCTCCTTCTGCATCCTTGGCCGACGATGACGATTACTATCAGCAGCAACCAGACGAAGACTACGAACAGCCACCTGCACGCAACACCGCCCGCAGACGCACTGCAGCTCCCAGCGATTTGGAAGAGGTGCCTGTAAAGCGTCGCAATCAAAAACCTACTCGACCCACACTACGTAAGCCTGCAACCTCTAAACAGGTGCTGCTGGAGGACGAAGATTACGACAATGAGCGTTATGAGACGCGACGCAAACGTCCGCTGGCTGTTCGTACTCGTAAACCGGCTCCCGATCTCGACTTTGTTGATCCTGATTACGAGGAGCACGAAAGAGTTCCTCCAGCACGAGCCACAGCCCAGCGTCTGCGGCCAAAGGTTGCATCCGCGCGCAAGCCTGTGCCTCGGCCACGTCAACCAATTATTGAGGAAGATGTGGAGGACCAATCGGTGGATCCCGTAGACCATAATATCGGGGATGAGCCAACTAATGAGTCCCGTGTGCCAGCGACACGCCAGCGTGGCAATGCTCTTAATGCCTTGCCAAGACGCAGCAACAATAAATTGGCAATAAGCACGCGCCAACGTGCGCTACCTACGTCGAGGACAACGCCGGCACCACCGCCAGAACCAGATATTGACGAAGAAGAGCAACAACTAGAATCGGATCTGGAGTCTGCCGATGAAGAGCCCCTGGCCCCAGCGGCACCACCAAAGACGCTCACAGCTGCCGGGCGAACTGCATCGGTACGTGTTGTGAAACGTCCATTCTTGCCCTCGCGTGGCGGCAGTCCCTATTTGCCGCGTGGTTTGCAGCCGGTGGGCGTGGCACTAAGACCGCTGATCGACAGTCGGACACGCACCACCGACAGTACACCCATCGACATGGGTTCAACCATTTCGGGGGTGCGTCTGCTCGAGCATGGTGCACCTTTGCTTCGTGATGCGGGCAGCTATGAAGACTTTAGTGATCAGCGTGTGCCGGCACCGCCCTCACCTCCTTCGCCTACGCCACCGCGCACCACATTGCCACCACGCAGCGCTCTGCCCACCGTTTCGACGCAGAAGCGGCCCGAGCCGCCACAGCCCAAAGTGAATCTGGACGAGCTCTACGAGAATGACTACGATGTCACGCTCAATGACGCGCTAGATCCCACGCTTAAACCGCTTACGCCCCAACATCAGCATCAGCATCAGCTTCAAAGCTATAGTCGCCCCTATGCAAGTGCGTATGCAGCCTCGCCAGCATTACAGCAGCAGCAGCAGCAGCACGCGCCCTCATCCGCAGCCTCCGCATTCAATCCATTCGCTCATAATAACTATCAACAGGCGCATCTGCCTTCAGCCTATCAGCCACAAATCCATCATAGTCACTATCAACATCAGCAGCAACAGCAGCAGCCATCCCATTCCGTCGCTTCTGCCGCTTCACAATCATCAAGCGCATCTCAATCTGCATCCGCATCAGCTTCTGCACCGCCACCAGAGCCACCGAACTACCATAGTGATTCATATTTCTCCTCGACAGATATACGCCGGCGGGCTATTGTCCCGGCGCAGGTCGCGCGCTCGAACCGACACGAATACAGTGCTGCCAGAGGAGCCGGCAGCCAGGTGAGCGCTCGAATCGCTCAGCACTTTTACGATGACTTTACATATTAGTCGGTACAAGTCTGTGAAAAACGGTAAGACATTCGCTCTATTTTCTATCATCTCTGACTATTCTCAGCTGCCCATTTTCCGTTCTATGTTTTTACAGTTTCTCCAGCTGTAAATAATTTCAACAAAAACTTTGGAACATCGAGAATTCGATGAATTTTCTCCCCTTTCACTGCCCTGTCGCTGGCGCTCTTTTAGTCGTTTATCCGCAGCAATTTAATTTAAAATACACCCAATTCAAGGAGATGCGATTGGAAATATGGTCCGATACAAAATATTAATTATTTTCTGAGGATGATTTTAATTGTACATCTTTTTAAAATCTTTATCACAATTGCAGAAATAAATATGCAATTAAAATCGACCAGCATCAGAAATATTTCCACTTTTGTGTAGTCTAGGTATATCCCCAAACATTTTGTAAACCTACTTATAGCTCTTACATTTGTACATGTATAATACTCAATTATCGTGATAGTAGCCGAGACAAAAAACTTTTATTTGTCTGCTAATTTTATGTAGCATGTAGTATAATGTCTAACTCCCCTTCCTGCTCCTCTCTACACCATTATCCAAACTATTAACACTTAAGTATAAATGTATAAATAATAGGTAAACATACATACTATACTTACATATATACAAACATATTGAAAAACAACATAATAAAACAAAACAATTAAGAAATAAGTTTGCAATTTTGTGTGCGTGCTTAGGACTTAAAATGCAAATTATGCAAATTTAAAATTTAAGCTACATATGTCAACAAATAAAACTACGAGTATGTAAAGCCCAACTCACTTTGTTTATTATATTCTATGTATATATTAAGCATTTCCGTCCCCATGCAGACACACTTTTAAAGCCTTAGTTTCCTCTTCCAAGTGATCCAGCTTTTTCATTAAAATAATCTATTAAGAAAAAAAAAGAGCAAAGGTAGTGGAAAATTAAAAAATTCTATGAATGTAATCGAATTTTCACCTTTGCTGCAGATATCATTTCTTTGGCAACTTTCAGCGACATGTGCTGTACGGATTTAACGAGGGTCATGGGACGTGTCTTGGCTATATCCTCAATGGTTTTATAGCCCGCTGTGTACAACTGTTTGGCGCGATTCTGGAAAAGAAATCAGTAAATGAATGGCTGGGCTATTCGTTACTGGATCAAAATCCTTACCATTTTAACGGCGGGCAACTCTAAGAGTGGTTCCAATTCCAGGGTACCGCAACGATCCATTTTTGCATTGATACGCTCAAAAAGCGGTTTGTAGCACCAGAACTCTTCCATTTGCTCACACAGTCGCACAATGGCGCTGGCTGCAGCTATAGACTGATTGATTAGCAGTTGCAACGTGCCACGCTCCACATTGAACTTTTTTGCCACATTGGGTAGTGGAACAATGTCGAGAATATCCATTAGTATGAGCACCTTATAGAGCCGATTCAATTGCAATACCAATGGTCCCTGCACTGATAATGTTTTAGCCAACTTAACGGCATGAGCTTCATTGAAGCCCAACAGTCGGAACAGCGACTGTGTCTGAGGTGGAAGAGCAGTGTAGCAGCGGAAAAGAATGTCTGCATCGGCTGAAAAAAGCTCGTCTCCACGCTCATTTGAATTAAAACTTATAATGAGATATATGAGGTGTGCGTAATTGCTGAGTATGAGTTGTTGTTGTGCCTGCTTCAGCTCCTTTTGTATGGAGAAGGCTCGCTTGTAATCGATGCCAGCCTTAAAAGCCGCCCTTCCGATGCTGGTCAACTGGAAACGCGTGGTCTGGCCAATAAACAGCCTTCGATCTGTCGCCGCCTCTCTGTTGTTCTGATTGACATCCTGTGTTGTGATAATGTCCGAGCAATTCGTTGATCCTTCACTCAACTGCAGCACTTTGTTTTTAAACATTTCCCGCACAATACGTAACACCAGACTATCGATATCCACGCCCAGTGAAGCGGCCTGCACAGATAGCAAAGTGCTGTGAACCAAGCGTGTTAGATCACGACGGCAGTTAGCCAAATCCATGCCAATAACGCTAAGAATAAGTGCCTAGCAGGGAAAACAAATAAATTATTAATTTAGTTACAATGATTGACATGAATAAATAAATCAAGGAAATGAATTGTAAATTATGGAAAAGGGGAAAAAGACACGCATTTGCACATAACCGGATTTAATTATATTAATAAAAATATTTCCATTCATAATTTTGAAAAATGGAAATAGATATTCTGTATATATGCATTAATCTATGAGGAGGGAAAACTAGACGGCTGGAGAACTATAGAGCTTTATATGTATGTGTGTGTATCTCTATTGATGTGATTGATTATGTATAACATAAATATGTAATATTTTTAAATGCAAACACACCTGCAGACCAATGGCATCCTGGTAGTCTAAGGAGCTCAGCGCGTTATCCATAGGTGAGAAGAGCATCTGGCCCACGCGCACATTGTCGCGACTCTGTGTGATTAAAATGCTTTCGCCCGCCTCTCCCAAGCCAGCGCGGCCTGCACGTCCCACCATCTGTTTGTACTTGCAAAGTGTCATAAACTCGCTCCCCACGTAAGGGGCACGTATGATGACACGTTTGGCGGGTAAATTGACGCCAGCCGCCAGCGTTGAGGTGCAACAGATGACCGTGATAATGCCCATCCGATAGGCAATTTCGATGCACTTGCGCTCGTCCGTCGTGAGCCCGGAATGATGGTATGCAATGCCATAAGGCAAGGTCTTGGCCAAAACTGGACTAAGAATACCACAAATTTTATCCAAGGCATCCATGAGGTCAGCTTTCTCGTTCTTTCGATGCTCGAGGAATTTAGTTCGAGGCACTATGCGACTTAACAACAACGCCACATTTTCACAATTCTTGCGCGATGAGCAAAAAACAAGACAGCAATGCTCAGGAGCGCATTCGGTTACGAGGCCGGCCAGATGATCGGGATCTGCGCGAGCTACAGCCGCACTATACTATAATTGCAATTAGTTTCAATAATCAAAATATCCATACAAAAATAAAATTTATTACATTGTAATTAACACTCCGTTTATGCACGAAAATCTCCTCCAGCGTATGACCGGCTGAGTTTATTTCCAACAGATCTAGACCACATTTAATATACTCCTTAAGCTCAACTGGTCTAAAGCCGCGAGTATACACATCAGCATTAAGAAAGGCAGAAATTTCATTTAAATTTCCAATGGTGGCGCTCATGCCCACAATTTGTATGTTTGCTAAAATATATACATATATGTAGTATGAATATATATTTAAAATTCTTTGAATGCCAAATATATTAGTTGATTTAATGTATATGTATTATCGACTAACAACAGGGTTACACGTAACGGACATAACGAATTCAATAAAATAAATCATAAGGTTGCCTTTTAGATTATACTATACTATAGTATAGCCCAGCGATATAAGATAATGAGATATGTAGATCTAAGCGAACAACTTTCGTTAAACAAATCAGAACAAAAAGAACACTCTTGTCCTCTTAGTCTCATTTTCACTACAAATAAAATTAAAGCCATTTGTTAGGCTAACTAAACAGTGGGCTTTGAAACATTCCAAACTTCCACTAACAACGTCAAATCTTCCTCCCAACAACGCATTTGAAACACATTCCACTTTAACATAGTGAGGTCAGCAAATTTTATATACGAGTACAATTATCGCACCTTTTGCATAAACATTCGCGGTCATTAAACTCTTAAGTCATCTGATGTTTTGAAGTTTAAGAAACTTTATGGTGAACTTAATAAGCTGCATCGGCAAAACTGTGTAAATATAGTAAAAGCGAATTGACGTCATTGCAGTTAACAATTTTGTAGATATACTCATATATCAGAAAATTGCATTCACTCCGATTCTTTGAAGTTTAACTTACTCGTATATAAATACATAGTCGACAAATTTAAAAGAATAAAGGCATATCGCTTAGGGCCTAAATATCGTATCTAAAACAAGAATGGATAAGATAGAGTAGATATTAATTTTTTTTTTTTAATCTAAATCTAATATCCTGCATATACATACATTTACATATATACCATACATGGGAATGGAGCTGATTTTTACTTACCTTTCAAAAACATTACTTTTGTAAGAAGAGCCTCCAGCGTTGCTCCTCGGCCACGTTCTCCTATCAAATGTAGTTCGTCCACGACGACTAGGCCAATCTCGTGTGCACGCTGTGCCTCAATGAGACTGTCCATCAGTACGGCTCCCTTTTCAATTGAAGCTACAAAAAGACTACGGCGCTTGCGTCTTGCCATCGGCGGACATTTTCCCTTTCCTGCAGTATACTCATCCACAATAAAATCGAGCGCAATCGCAAATGGTGACATGGCACTGACCTAAAGAGCATCCTGGTATTAAACTGAATATTAAGACTCCTGCAATCAATGTACCTTCTCCTGCACAATCGACACATAGGGCAAAATAAAGAGAACATCCCTCTCCCTGCACAACAGTTCACGCAACATTAAAATCTCGGCAACCAAGGTCTTTCCACCACTGGTGGGCAGTGCGTAAATCAGATTCTTTCGCTTGCAAATTGCTGGCAAGTTAAGACACTCGTCTTGCCACTCTGTTAAAAAAAAGGCTCTTAGAAGGGATTCCCATTTTACATTAGGTAACCTACCGTACAAGCTTTGTACTCCCTTGTGCTGAAATATCAATTTCTTGATCCTGTCCGGCAGTCCATAAAAGTTACCCTTACTGGGAAATATGTCGACTTCTGGTGCGGTAAACGCTTGTGTCACCCAATCAATCTCGTCGAGTGTGGCTAGTTCCTTTTTCAGCATGGACTGATTTTTCAGTTCCTCATAGGTTTCATACTGAGTGCCCATTACAATACCTTCGATTATGGATTTAGAAATGAGCGATTCGTCTATTATTTCTGGCATTGCTAACTTTTCCGGAGTCTTGGGAACTTGAAAGGCAACATCGTCCAGAAAGCGTTGAGTGTTCTGCAAAATTGGTTCGCTTCGTTCGTCGACGTCATGAAATATGTCCTCCTTTTCTTGAACAGACAAGTCCTTCAAATTAATTTCGGCAAAAAGTGTATTATCTTTATCAAGGTCCTCCATGTCAGATGGAATGACTGAGATGCTGATGGTACTACCATTATCAGCAATATAATCATGTGCCTGTGTGTTGTTGTTTGTAGATGGCAGCGAAATTTCGCCGAATAAACCGTCATCCGAATCGCTTTCTTGAAAATTGGTGCTGATGCTGGTCTGACTAGAAAAAGGTGCACGAACTATAGCAGAATTTTCTTCGGATATAAGATCTTCAATCTTGGCATTGGAGAAAAAACTAGCGTCACTGTCTGGCCAAAAAACACTCTCATTTATTTGCGGGTGTTCGGAAAGACTTTCCGGCATTGTGCAGCGACGCTTCGCATTAGTTTGGTGATCCGGTGTCAAGTCAATATGCTTTCTTGACATTGTTTTATTTATATTTACATAAACGCACATATGGAAACGACATCAAAACCCGCGGCAAGCGCGAAATACTGTTTTACAGCACTGGAGGCGCAAACGATAATACCGCATTTCCACCAGATGCTACCACAAGCAACGAATTTGTGACTTCAAAAATTCAACATTTCACTCTACTGGTGGTAATTACAATTTTCGTTAGGATCGTTAGTAACGCATAAAAGTGCTAATTGCCGTCAAAATTTCATAAGAAAACAATTCGAATTTAATATCGAACATTTTTGTATGTCCTTATTATTTGTATGTCCTTTCGTATTTTAAACTTACCGACCTTTTTCAATACATATGTATGTATGTACATATATGTATATGTATCTATAGACTTATGCTTGGTATACAATGGCTGCGTTTAACCTTTAAAGTACGATAAAGTAGTTGAGACTCATGCAATCATCGGATGCCAGTATCGCAATCGCCTGTTGCTTCATTTTTTTGTACATATTATATTACACTACAACAAACAGCTGTTTGTTTATGTTACTATACACTTGTAGGAATGTCGATAGCGATATGTGATATTTGCCGTTTAGCTGTTTCGATTAAATAAATAAAATTCAAATTACAAATCTCTCATTTATTCTCAACTCTCATTACTTTTTAGCTCTAACAAAACAAGTTACCATATGTAAATAGAATAGAATTTAGAGAAAGATTGTTTTTTAAGATACTTTTAGTTATTTTAAATAGTCTTTTAATTTATCAATTTAACTCAATTTAAAACTACTGCGCATCTGTTACATATGTATGTGTGTATGTGTGCTGGTATTTTACTCTACACCGAAGTATTGCCAAAACATTGAAAATGAATTTACAGTACATTTAAAAACTCATATAAAAAATATCGCTATTCATTTTGATAACTTTCGATATAATATCGATGGCTTCGCAATCGTATGTGGTGAATGCAGAAGCGCGCCGTGTTTTTGTTATTTTTATTGTATCTGCTTCTACTTCCGCAGCGATATACAAAGTTGTTAATATTTGTACCGTTTAAATGTAATATTTTAGTTTGTTTATAAATTAAAAACTTAAAGCAGATGTTACAACAATGTACAGTGGAAGCTGGATCTTAGAACATGTTACGACTGGGACTCGTATATTCCTCAAAAACGGGGACAACACAATAGGCAGACACTCGTCCTGCAGGCATGTTTTAAAATACGATTACTTGTCACGGGAGCACGTCAACCTGCACGTACGCAGCGACAATGTAGTTGTAGTCAATCTAATGGTGAGTTTTTTAATAATACCCATTCTCAGATTTGTATATTTAGAACTATTGTTTAATTGCAGAAAGCCTTAAATGGCGTATTCATTAATGAAAGTATGATCGAGGAGACGGGCACCCCGCTGCGTGAAGGTGATAGAATTTCCCTCGGCGTGGAAACTACCACAATACAATCTGTTTCGCACAAATACGCAGTATTTGTTTTGAAAAAATTTGTCGCAGACGCTATTATTCTCAGTAGCGATGATGAGGAGGATGTACCAGTGGTACATGAGGATGGGTTGACTAATGTGATCAAAAATGAACCTGTATCAGTGGCTCAAGATTCGCGAGAAAATCGCCTTATACACATGCCAAAACTACCTGATTGTAAGCAAGAAATTGTGCAAAATACGACTGATGAAATACGCAATATATTTGGAGAGCCGGATGATATTATATTAAATCCATTGATTCACCTAAATCCATACGTTTTCAACAAGCTTCAAGCAACAGTCCAGGAATCCACACCAATTTCTCAACAAATTTGTGATGGCGACATTATTGAACTTGCCGAAGAAGTTAAAGCTCCTGATGCAATCCCTCCAACCAAGGGACCAGTTGAAGAAGAAATTATACTTAGTGATAGTGACTATGATGAGGACTTTGCAATGTCACAAGCTGTGCTCCAAGAGATGAAGGAGGAGATGAATGACCTCATGCCAGAGACTATTAGATCCGAATTTTTCGAAAACATCGAGGACGACGATGTTATTATAATCGAAGATAATGACGAAGATCTAGACGATAAAGTTGCGGACTGGTCATCCAAGCTTTTGTCGCAGAATGTTAACCAACTATCCCAAATTTATCAGCTTCCTGATAGTATGGAAGCATCGGACATCGAAATTGAATCGGGCAGTGAAGATTCGCTACACCCTCCAAGACTGAAGTCCCTGGCGATGCGCCTTGATAGTTCGAGTTCTAGTGAAGAGACCAGCACTGTTTGTCAAGGTATATGCTATTTTCTTCCTTTTACCTCTATACCAAAAGTTATCTGTTCCGAGTTAATATATCCTTATCTCCCTGAAATTTTATAAACCACAAAATCTTTTTTAAAGTCATTTTTACTTATTGCACGGTTGCAGCATCCGCAACCCACAAATAAAGGTCAATATATATTTTATAATCGGGTTAAAGACAAAGAAATAAACATGCTTTTTATATACAATATCAAAAAATTAAAATTTAAAATCTCTTTTTTTCAGCTGATTGTTTAACAGCGCACGCTAATGCAAAATGTAATTTCCGAGAGGTCAGGGTTATTTTAAAGAAGTGCAATGCTGAACGATTTACTCAAAACAAGGACGAGGAAGTTTTATCAACACATGTAGCTCACGAACCTACAAAAAAGACCAATATTTTCTTAACGCCAGAGAAAGAGATAATTTTTCAGGAGCATTTAAAGAAAACGCCTTTAAGCAGTGATACACCAAAAACCATTTCCAAAACTACATCGGCCAGTGGAACGTCGGATGCAGTGACTCCAAAAACGACTTACAAAATGCGAGCACGAAGCAAGACCATATCATCAAGATCCGAACTTGAACAAGAAACTCCCGAAAAAATTGTTTTAAATCAGTGCGCTGCAGATCTTAAGGATAGCAACGTTTTGAAGAATTCGAGAGATATTGCAAACAACTTTACACCAAATAGAACGAACAAAGTACGTTCGCGTCGGAAGACCATTTCATTAAATGCCGAAGTTGAAGAAGTTACTCCTAGAAAAGGTGTAAGAGATCAGGAAATGAAGGATTGCACTGTAGTGATGCCACACAAGGGTACACATGACAACATTTCTCAAAATACGAACAAAGCAGTCCGTACGCGGCGGAAAACCATTTCGACCAGATCCGAACTTGAAGAAGCAAAAGGTCTTAAGGATAGCAACATATTAGAGCACTCAAGGGATATTGTAAACAATATTACACCAAATAAGACGAAGACAATTTCATCAAAATACGATCTGGAAGAAAAAAGTTCAGAAAAAAACTTACAGAAGCTCGACGCTGCACGTAAGGATGAGGATAAGGAAGGGATCCGATCAGAAGAAACTGGCGAAAAGGTTTTAAGATATCACTGCCCAGCGGATATTAACGGGAGCGATGTATTGGAGCAATCCTCAGGGATCCTGAGCAATGACACCCCTACTAGAAGGTACAACATGCGTCCTCGACGCAAGACCATTTCATCACCGACCGAAGTCGAAGAAGAAACTCCCAAAAAATCTGTAAGAGACCAGGGTATGAGGGATTGCACTGTATTGACGCCACAGAAGGGTATACAGGATAACATTTCTCCAAATAGGACCAACAAAATCTGTGCGCGGCGCAAAACCATTTCGTCAAGATTCGAACTAGAAGAAGAAATTCCCGAAAACAAATTACAGAAGCTCAGCACTATAAGTAAGGATGAGGATAACGCTGTGCTGGAGCATTCTAAGGAGAAGCCGCACACCGTTAGCCCAAGTAAGACGCACAAAAGCCCATTAAAAAGCAGGTCCTTATCTTCTCCATCGGATATCGAAGCAATATTTCTCCATAAAACTGCAAAAACCCACGCAATTACTTCCAATGATTTTGAAAAGTTCAACATAACACCATCAGAACAAAAGACTATGGACGCTACTACTCCTAATAAAATATCTAGTGTCGAAAAAACAAACAAAGGACATGAGAAGACGAAACCGCATTTACCATCTCGACTGCGGAATCGAGCAAAGACTATTTGCATTGAACTTCCAGCTCAAGCAGAGAAATCAATTGTAAACAACCATTTCATGCCCGCAAAAAAGAGTTATGATCAATCCAGCATTACACTATCACCAAATAACGATTTCGAAAGAGGTCCAAAAGTAATAGAAGCTCCTCATTTGCCAAAACACAGAGGCCATTTGAGAGGTGTGTCAGCTATGAGTAAGGCAGATGAGCAAAAGCAAAAAGTTCTGGAAAGACAGCGTTTTGTGGACCGTGCAGCGTATATGACAGCTAAATGGCTTACTAAACCCTCAACTAAAAAAAAGGAAAATGCTATTATTAGGGAAAAAAGAAAGGAAGAACTGAAAAAAATCTCAGTAAAAGAGAAAGTTCCGGAAGTTTCTTCCGACAAAAAAAGGAAGCACTCCACCGTGCGAACGAAGAGCAGCACTTCAAATCGTGGTGCTTTCCTAACTGAAGCCATTGCTGCTCAACCGCCAGCAAAGACGCGTAAATTAAATGAGAATGACAAGACTCCAGTCCCCACTTTACCAACAAAACAGAATTTGAAAGGAGAATCGTTCTCTCAGCAACTGAAAGCCGCTGATAAATATTTGGAATCAACCACACATTCCAATCGTCCGCGAGAACGCAGGGAGGCGGAGACGGCACGCAATCAACGTACCTGTAATCGAGTCACGTTTGCTGAAATGGAGAGGGAGTTCGAGTTACGCAAGGAGCTAAACAAAAAATTTAAAAAAGTGCGCTTCAGTGACAAAGTCATATACCATGAAATCGAACGTGTAAAAGGAGCCAATTCCAAAGTTCAAACTCGAAAGGACACGAGAAAAACAACACTATCGACCTATGCTGAGCGTCGGGAATGGGCGCTGCAAAAAAACAAGATATTGGACCACACCGATTACATTATTGGGGACATATTACGTTGGAGCAACCGTTGGTTGCAGTTGCGCAGTGTCGATGCTGTAGCCGAATCGGAAGTGCTTTTGCCCATTCCGCACGAGTTTAAGGATTATAAACAGTACAAGAAGTAAGTTTTCATTGTGCTTGGCCACTATTTGACAGCTATATGTGCATATGTATGTATATACTTATCATTCGTATTCACAGCACTCTTGTACCTTTAATGTTGCTTGAACTTATAAGCACTATTGAACGTGGTTATAAAATTGCAAAAACTAAACAAGTTACACTTGAGAATTTCTATAAAGAAAGAGACCGCCTTTTCCTGGTAACCAAATGTAAGTTTTTCTCCATATCCTTTTGCCAAGTATTAGTGATAATTATGCAAATGCAAAATATGAGTATATTCAGGGAAAGATTTTTATTGCCTGCGCCCAAAGGGTAAAATGTTGTACTAATTTAGTGTGAATATATGTACCACATAGAAGTACATATATGTATGTATATTCTTGATCAGTATGACAAGACGAGTCGATATAACTATCTAGATCTCTTCCTTACTTTACATATTTATATTAACTAAAAGTGTTTTCTTCTTTATTGGCTTTATATACATTTTCACAATCAATCTCTTTGTGTAGATGAAATGCCCGAATTACAAAAGTTTGATTTGTATACGCTGAGCACTGTGGATGGGACTAAAGAAACGTTTGCTTCCTTATATAAATTACAGCGCAGCAGCAGTAAGTAATACTAAATTTCGATTAGACAGTCTAATTAAAAATATTCAATTTTTGCAGGGAAAGTTTGGGAGTTTACGTTTCAAGTACTGCAAAAGGACTTCAGTGTAGAAAATTTAAACGATTTGAAGAAAGTTGTATTGCGACCAGTGGTGGACAACATACGCGTCGAACTGGGTGCAATAAATGCTGTCTATCATATTGGACACTCACAGCTATTCCGCAAGATCTTGAAGCCAAGCGAGAATGTATCGGCGCCCATGCAGAAACTTAAAAAGTCGTCGTACAAAGGATTTAGGCTAAATCCGCAGCAAATGGACATTTGTCTGCGTACCTATCATCGACTGGTGGACGATGTAACGCCCAGTATTACACTTATCCAAGGCCCGCCGGGAACAGGCAAATCCTATGTTATCTCTAATCTCAGCCTACAATGCATGTATGGCACTTCAACGCACATATGTGATCGTAAGATTCTAATTTGTGCTCAGAGTAACACAGCAGTGGACAACATAACTGAATATCTCAAAAATGCACACGATCGCATGACTCACGACCATTTTGAGCTCTTGCGCTTCGGAGTTTACGAGAAGATGCTGCCCAAGGTACGTTCTGTTTCGCTGCAAAGTTATTTAGCGCGTGAGCGTGCGAACAAATCGCAACGTCTGTCTTCCGAAAATATGGAAAATATTAAGCAACAACAGCAGCATCTGGAGAAGGAAATAGCCGAGATGCGTCCACGTGTATTGCCCGGCACATCTCTGCAGCAGCAACTGGAGGAGATGGAGCGAAAGCTGCGACAACTAAACGACTTGCTAGATACACCTTTAACGCCCCGGGAGGAGCACCAGCTCTCGATCAAGTACATACAACGTGCAAACATCATATGCACCACACTATCGAGCTGCGTTAAGTTGGCCAACTTCATCGACTACTTCGATATATGCATTATTGACGAGGCCACACAGTGCACAGAACCGTGGACTCTTTTACCATGCGCCCGTTTTCGTGTTCACGGATTGGTTTTGGTGGGTGATACCCAACAGTTGCCCGCAACGGTGCTTTCACAGGTTGGTTTTGTGGTAGAGATATATAGATCTGAGTGCGTGGGCGATTTTGTATTCACGAACGATTTTTTTTCATTTCATATTATGGCACACTAAAGGTGAAATGATACATATGTAATGCAAACGCCAAATGTATCTGCTAGGCAAAAGAATATGTGACAGACTCCATGTTGTAGATTCATAATATGATTAGCATGTAGGCGACCTGTCCGTGTCCGTTTATATGAGCACCATATGAAGAGTCAATTAATTACAAACCATTTATAGGCTCATTATTTTATAAAGCTACCATAACAGGAATGATAATATACCTATATGCAATCATTTTTGTTAATTAATTTTTTCAGAAAGCAGCAAACCTTGGATTAGCCAATTCAATGTTTTCCCGCATTCAGAGGAGTTTGCTGACGAATTTAGACAAACCCTCCTATTCGGCGAAGCTGACAAACATCTTTAAGTTGAGCACGCAGTATCGAATGCATCCGGAAATTTGCAAATGGCCGAACCAGTACTTTTATGAAAACGAGCTCATCAATGCTGAATGCACAACTTCTTTTACTGCGCCGATTATACCTTACTGTGTCATTAATTTAAGCTATACCAGCGACGCAAGTTGCTCAACGAGTCGCAGCATACAAAATGACGACGAGGCAGAATTTGTGGCGAATCTATTGGTTGCATTAAATAAAGTAATGCCGACAAATCGCTACAAATATGGGGTTATTACCCCATATACAAAGCACTGCATGGCTTTAAGACGCAGCATTCCGCAAGAGCTTAATGTGTCGCCGAATACGATCGATGCTTACCAAGGATTGCAGCGCGATGTGGTAATAATTTCGAATGCTCGCACGCGGGGTGTCGGCTTTTTATCGTCCTATCAGCGACTTAATGTGGCTATAACACGACCGCGTCGTGCCCTAATAATTTGCGGAAATTTTAAAGATCTCGAGGTAGGTTTGACAATTTACCTGCCTGTAATAGAAAAAAGTTCACATAAGGCTTTGAATCTATTTAATTACAATATGAATAATCTACATTCTTTTGCAGGGTGTGGAAATGTGGCGTCATTTAATCACAAATGCGCGTGAAAGGAACATTTTCTTTTCAATTGAAAACAGGGAAAACGGGCCATTGGATAGTTTAATATCAAAACTGCTTCTTAAGAAGGAATCATAGTGCCACAGGTGTTAAAGATTGAAATAGTTGTACATTTCTTATAATAATATGTATGATAAGACACGAAGAGTTTCGTGGACCGATAAATGAATAAATGGCTTTAAACATTTTTTTTTTTTTTTTTTGGTCTTAAAATAAGAATTTGTCTAGAAAAAATACGAATATGCTATTGGAATTACATATATGAACCATTTTTGTTTATTTTATAGTTTACATACACATTACTGCTTGCATTTCTGTTTAACATCAATAGAAATTTGTGAGATTCTAACTTTGAATTGTTCTGTACACTTACATATAATAAAATACGGACAGCTATACCTACATTGAAATGAAATTAACTATATTTTATAATTGCATAAACATTAATAAATGTTATGTGCAAAAGTGAATGTTGGATTCGTAAATATAATAACAGCATTATAAGCTTATAACTGTTCAATGTTTAGTTTCTCAACACTTCCGCCAAAACTCGTTGAAATGCATACCAAAATTTATAAAATAACTTGTATTTCTCCCAAGGAACACAATTCATACAAATTAATGTATGTAAAAATAAATAAATAATAGAGCATACGTATTTTTGGTACTCAATATGTATAAGAAATATACACTGCGCTGCGCTATCCAAAAAAAAATAGTATATGACAGGTTTACGTTGAATATTGCACTAATAAATTATTTAATTGAATAACAGAAAATCTAAAAAGTCTTTAAGTCGTATACTCCAAAAACAAAACAAAAAAATGCGCATTTTCCTAATTACTAAAACATTTCGGTTTCTTGCCTCTCATGCCCGAGTACATAGCTCTCTATTACTAGAATACGTAAATTTACTAACAACACACAAATAAATTCATTGATTTTTGTTTGTTTGTTTGTTTGTTGTTTCTTTTTTTTCATAGGCAAAAGGATCTGCCCTGTTCGATATTGTTTTAATCAAATTTGGTAGTCAATCTCGAAATCGCATGTTCAGTAAAATTAATGGAATCGCTTAACAACAAATCACCGGTGAAACGGATTGCACTATAGAACCGTTCGCATTATAATTAATGCAATAATCGAAATAAAATGCTACAATAATAATAATAAACTAAAATTGTACAAAGTATAACAACGGATCTAAATTAAAACTAAAAACATAACAAAAATTATGCTCAATTAAAACTATATAGTAGGTCGTATATAGATTTTAACATAAAGTTAACGAATATAATGCGAATACGCTCTCGTATGCATATGCAGGTGTGTGTGTACGCAAGTACAAATTTTCATTTTATAGAATACGACTAAAGAAAACATTTGTTGGTTTTAGTTTCATAAATGGCGGACATTGTTTAGTTTATAACATCGCCAAATGAGTCCTTTAATGACTGATAGATTTGGTATTGTTGATCTGGTTTAAGATTATAAATCTGTATGAAAAAGAAAGTTGTAGTATTTGGTAGTGCCTATATAAGGTGAATATAGAACGTACCTGCGTCAAGAGCTTTGCAGGCGATGGAGTTCTAATGAAGCTTGAGATGTAAACATTAACAAAAGTGGCCATTAAAAATTGGCAATCGAAACGATCCATTATGCCACCATGGCCAGGTATCATGTCACCAAAGTCCTGAATGAATTGAAGTTATCAAATTAATGAACGAAATAATAGATGGATTTGTGATGTACCTTTATCTTAAATGCACGCTTGAATCCAGATGCAAAGAATCCGCCAAACGGTCCAATTATAGAGCTGAACAGACTCAATGATATCGAATGCCAAACGAAAGGAATTATATTCAAAGTCTTGCCAATACCAAACTGAAAGTGAGCTCCTTAAATTTAAAGATTGAAATTATTTATATAGTGATCTTATATTTACCAATGTCAAGTTGTACTCCTGGGGCGTAAACAAATAGCTAGGCACACAGCTCATTGTCATGCGTCCGAGCTCCTCGGAATATTGTATTGGGCATATGAAGTACTCATAGTTGCCCAATACGACGGAAAAAAGGATGCCAAAGACAACGGTGGCAAACCCACCACCAATAAAGCCCTCCCAAGTTTTCTTTGGGCTCAATTTAATGAGTGGTGTGCGGCCAAAGAAGAAGCCAAACACATAAGCCATGACATCATTGCACACAATCATAGACACGGGCACAATGAACCATATAAGGCCCTCGAATATGTTCTGTATAATTAGATAGCTCTGTGTGACGACAATTAACAGTGAGACGTGTGTCCAAGCGAATAGACTGAACTGCTTTATGTAGTATTTCTTCACCAGTGAAAGTACGAACCAAACGAAGCCAACGATGTACAGGGCAAACGATAGGAAACGATGATAGGTTACCAAAAACTTTAGATATTCCTGCAAAATCATATCATATACATTAGAATTACTTTACAAGAATAACCCTCTGAGTTTTAAACTTACCACACGATTAATGACGACACCAAAATAGTCAACCAGATTCTCGCCATAGAAGAAATAATTGGAGGTCAGTAGGAAGTACCAGGAGAGACTGCGAAACCAGGGCAGGCCATGTATGCGATACACTTGATAGCCAATAGAGATAATCTCCTGAAAGCATTTCACTTGCACCAACAGAGTCTGCAAGAAAAATGAGCTAGCGTGAACAATGCTTCGCATTGGAGTATGGCTTTAAGATGCCAATGCCATAAATACCGTAATCATAAGAGCCAATGGACCGCCATAGATGATCAATCCAAAGCCACAAATCATTATCCATGTGAATATACCGCGAATGACCCAATTCTTCCATCTGCAAGAAATGTATACAAAGCATTACCAATATGCTAAATCAATATGTGCGCAGCTGCCTTCAACATATTTATTTATAATGATATGTACATATACATATGTATATATATGAACAAATACATACATATGTGTGCGCAATAAAGCGAGAATGTATTTATTTGCATGTATACCTGTCAGGCAAATCCTTTAGCGCCGAGTCCAATATCTCTGGCGTTTTATCTGTACCTTGTGGCAAATTCTTGGACAGCTCATCGACAATCTTTTCCTCGGGTATTTTTTCCTCCTCCGAGTCAATCTGTTAATAAATTGTTGTAGTTATTTACAATAATGTTGGCCATGTCTAATCAGAAATAGTGCGGCCTATCTAACTAGTTGAGTGCCTCGAAAGTACACGTACGTATTAAAGAAGACAAATAAAGTTGGCGGCATCCTTAATATGCGATAAACCAAAGCACAAAAGTTTAAAGTCCAAGTGACTCTTGACATACATATGTACATATGTATACGAACCTGCTAGATATGAAACAGTTAACTTTTTATCCATACTCAGACACAGTCACAAACCTAATCATTCACACACACATGTGTATGTCTGTATAATATTGGCAAACTGTTGTTGTAGAAGGTGGCGTGGTAAGTTTGTTGACAAATTTTGTTCTGATAACAAATTAAAAAAAGCAATACGGTTTGGCTTATAGGCGATGCTAGCTTATCGGGCAGACTTGAGCATTTAGCCGGACATAGGGCTAGGGTAGATAGCAGACATCTGTTGTCCAGATTTGCATTTCCGCTAAGAAAATATTGTTGGGGTTGTTGAGTAGTGGGGTGGCTAGTTGCCCGCCCCCTTGCTTCGCGCTCGCTTCCGTCATAGGTGCTTAATTGGATTTGCTTGAAATAGTATCGCCCGCTGGTGCTATATTGCAGCAATTGCCTTTGTTCTTCTTCTTGTTATTGCTGTTGCTATCGTTGTTGTTGTAGAGTGGCGTTGTTAGAATTGTGTATGCATTGTGTTTGTTATTGGTTTTTCAGTCTGCACCCTCTCTCTCTATTTCTCTCGTTAGCTTTTACCACCTGCTTGTGCGTCAGAGAATAACAAAAACATACTGAGTATAGATACATTTGGAATTTTCTTTTGCGCTCGAATGAATTATGCAAATTATGGAGAAAAAATTCGCATGCCCCACATAGGATATCCAATGTTGTTGTGTTCGCATTAATTACGCTTCGCTACATATATTACATTGTACTTACGCACTTTGTTACTTACATGATCTGAAGAATCAGCTGCAGAATTTCGTTTCTCAGCTGCACTTTTGGCCTCAGCATCCTCTTCATCCTCGTTTTCTGGCTTTCTTCGTCGCACCTCGGCCATTTCTGTGTTTTAATTCAGTTGCACTAAATATTTAACTATTAATTTATTTCAAGCGTAAAATATGCAGTGCACAGGAACACTTTGTCCAAACAATAAATATTCGCCCCGTACGTTGCGTTCGGCGACTAATTACTCTTTGCTTTTTCTCTATTTCATATTATTCGACTGAATTTTAGCGTTTGACATTTTTTAGTTCTTACTGCTTGCTGCAAGTGTTCTATCTGGCAGCTTTGCTCCCAATTAGACACAGCAGAGTTTTCAAACACTTTCACACTTCACTTTTCAACACTGTGCGAATCTTCATGTATGTATGCATGTGTGAATAATAGCCGGCGTCATTTTGCAAAACCGTCTGGTCTCGGCATTTTTGTGTAAATTTTAAAACACACTTTTCATTGCTATAATTTAAAACACGTGCAAGAATGGCGGCAGCAATCGATGGTGTTTTACCAGAACATTTGCAAGAGTTGGTTAAGAACTCCAAAGTTTTGGTTGTTGGTGCGGGCGGCATAGGCTGTGAGGTGCTAAAAAACCTTGTGCTTAGCGGATTTGTTAATATTGAAATTGTAAGTAGACCGGTATATAAATATTATTATTTACAAATTTATCTTACAATTAGATTGATTTGGATACAATTGATTTGAGCAACCTCAACCGGCAATTTCTGTTTCATCGCGAGCATGTGGGAAAGTCGAAAGCAAAAGTCGCGCGTGAGAGCGCTCTTAGCTTTAATCCAGATGCAAAGATTACCGCCTATCATGACAGTGTGACAAGGTGCGGAGGATTTTATCACCATTAAATTTTCATTAACAATATATATATCCATTGCAGCACCGACTATGGCGTCAATTTCTTCAAGAAATTCGATGTTGTGCTAAGTGCTCTGGACAATCGAGCAGCGAGGAATCATGTCAATCGCATGTGTCTAAATGCTGACGTTCCACTGATTGAGAGTGGCACCTCCGGCTACAACGGTCAGGTGGAGCTCATCAAACGAGGCTTGACTCAATGCTACGAGTGCACACCGAAGGCCAAACAACGCACCTTTCCAGGCTGCACCATAAGGAACACTCCGTCAGAGCCAATACATTGCATCGTCTGGGCCAAGCATTTGTTTAAGTAAGTAGTATACGGCGCATGATGAGAGGTTATTATTTATTTTGCATTATTTTAGCCAATTGTTCGGAGAGTCTGTTGAGGATGAGGACATTTCACCTGATGCCGCTGATCCAGAGGCTCAGGAAGGGGACGCTGAAGGCACCGAAATTCCTGCTGGGGATGGGGCTGGTGATGGTAAGGAAAAATCTGCATCGGAATCGGCAAATGGCAACGTGGTGCGCATCAATACGCGCCAATGGGCCAAGGACTGCAATTACGATGCGAGTAAGCTGTTCAACAAGTTCTTCTTTGAGGACATCAATTACTTATTGCGCATGTCAAACCTGTGGAAATCTCGCAAAGCACCTGTACCTGTGCAATGGGACACATTGTTACCCAAAGGCATACCCGACGGTGATTCTCTACCGGAATTTGCACGTCAATTCCACAAAGTTTGGTCAGTGGAGGAGTGCGCACAAATCTTCTCCAACTCGCTGAGGCAATTAAGCAATGATTTTCTTAAACTGGACAATAACGATAGTCTTGTCTGGGACAAAGACGATCAAGCTGCCATGGATTTTGTGGCCGCATGTGCCAATGTTCGATCACACATCTTTAATATTGAGCGCAAATCTCGTTTCGAGATCAAGTCTATGGCTGGCAATATCATACCAGCTATAGCGACTACTAATGCCATCACGGCGGGTATTTCAGTGTTGCGTGCGTTCAGTGTTCTCGAAGGCAAATTTGACCAATGCAAAGCGGTGTATGCTCGCCTACGTCTAAATCCGCGCAATCAGTTCCTTGTGCCGGATAAATTCTTTCCTGAGCCCAATCCCAACTGCTACGTTTGCGCTAGCGATCCGGCAATAACGCTGCGCATCGACACGAAACGTGTCCATATTAAGGAGTTCCGCGATGAGGTCCTTATCAAAACTCTGAATATGGTTAATCCTGACGTGACTTTGGAAAGTACTGGATCGATTATTATTTCATCTGAAGAAGGTGAAACAGAATGCAATGAACAGAAACTTCTCAGTGATATGAACATTGTGGATGGTGTAATCCTCAAGAGTGACGACTTTTTCCAAAATTATGAGCTAAGTATCATCATATCTCACTTTGATGCCGAGCGCGACGATCCCTTGTTTGAGGTGATTGCCGATAAAAGTCAGTTGCAGCCCAAGGAGGAAGAAGAGGAAAAGCCAGAGCCTAGCGAGAAACTGGTAAGCAGAAAGCGAGCGGCCAATGGGAACGGCGAGTCAGTGGAAAAATGCGATGATGGTCCGTCAACTTCGAAACGTAGTCGACCCACTGAAATAGAAGACGACGATGACGATGATTGTTTAATACTGGAAGATCCTGAGGATGATGTTGTGGAAGCAACGGATAAGCTCACCGTTGAAAGTCCACCCAAAACCGCTACAAAGCGCAAACCCAGCGATGTGGTTGAAAGTGATGAGATTACCACGATACTGGACTCGTCCGATGAGGAGGAGTCCCGCCCAACAAAATGCAAGCGATCACGACTGGAAAAATCGGAAGGGACAGGATCAATCGAAATAATCAATATTGATTAATTGCGCTTTTCTGGCTATATGTTTAATAACCACACATTCGCTAATATATTCATGGCATCACCAAAATTTGTTTTTTGAATATGAATTTAATACAAATTACAAAATATATGCATTCAAAGTTCCACTGTGGGGCATTCCATAAAACTCAAAAGTTCATTTTTTAATACTATGCTGGCAACATTGCTATTAAAAAGACCGCCTGGCAACCTTATGCGCCTTGTGCTCAGACTGTAAAGGTGATTGTTTAAGTTCGCGTAATAATTGTAGAAGTTCAATTAAAATTATATTTGCAGATGTCGTTTGCCACGAAATTACTGCTGAATAGCACACGCCTGTGGAATGGCATCGGCATCAGCTGTAGATTCCACACGCTCATGCGTCCAATAGCGCCGGCTGAAACACTCACGACCGCAATCAACCACAACCAATCACTGACACCCACAGCAAATTTACAGCAAGGCCTGTTGGCGCCCTTCAATGCTCTGTTGCAACAAGTAGCTGGCTTTAAAGTAAAGGGTCGCCTAAAGCGTCGCTGCAAGGACTGCTACGTCGTGATACGCCAGGAGCGCGGTTATGTCATCTGCCCAACGCACCCTCGACACAAACAAATGGCGATGAAGAAGCGAGACTACAAATCGTGGATACTAACGCATGCCACGCAGTCTAAGGAACGCGGCTTTTAGTAATAATAGCTCGGCATTTAACCGGCAATGCCCCAATTACCTGTTTGTTGTCTATGAAAGTAAAATCCTATAAAAAGATGCAATTAAGACTTTCTTTTTAGAGCTGCAGAGTTTTTAAAGCCGTTTGGCAACACTGTTCACAGCTGATGTTTTGTTTATCTGAATTCGCAAAGTTGGCTTGGCGATTGCAACTTGCAGACTGTTGTCATTTTTTTCTGTTGTCGCTAGGGCCGTGTCGGTATCTGGTTCATATTGACCATCGTGCGAGTACAGAACGTCAGCAAACTTAATACTGATAAAGAAAAAACATGACGACCCATTTTAAGAAAGTGCTCCGCCAGGCGCTAAAAACTTTCGAGCGTGCCAACTATAATCATGCCACATTCAATGCCAATCTGCAACAACTAAAACAACTAACAGATCAGGTAAACTCATATAATGTTTGGGGACGAAAAGCGTCATTAATATAGCATAACCTTTCAGCTAACATATCGCGATTTACATTTGAGCAAGGACGAGCTATTTCACGATGCCTTTAACGAGACTGCCGACCGAGCTCCCTGTTCGTACATTCACATTTTCGAAAACGAGTTGGTTTCCATGAGCGTGTTCATCATGCGCCCTGGCTACACAATGCCGCTTCATGATCATCCAATGATGCATGGAATTTTGCGTGGCATTTGGGGACAGCTGCGTGTGCAGAGCTACACACAGCAATTAGGCGTCAACGAATCTGAGCCATTGGTATACGATAAGAACCCCACGGAGGTGCGGGTTATCGCGGAGCAGCCAAATGTTGTCACCCCTCAAACCACGAGCGCATTGCTAACACCAAGGGAGCGAAACTTCCATCAGATCACAGCCGTTAATGGTGTTGCCGCTTTCTTTGATATCTTAAGTCCGCCCTACGATGCTAATATGCCGATATACGGCCCACGCCGTTGCCGTTTCTATCGCCCCAAATCAGATTCTGATAATCAGATACATCTCCAGTGCATTCCATCGCCTGGAAGCTATTATTGTGATTTAGTAGACACGCCGGATTCTGTTCTACAATGTGGATTTGTCTGTGCTGCCGAAATTTTCGGCGATCATGCCACCGAGATGCAGTGAAACAGCCATAATTATAAGCTTCAGATAAATGTTTAAAGTTATATTCCCGCTCGACATTATATCAATTTAGGTTAAACGGCAGCAGCATCTAAGCGTTTTCTGTGTTATTTAAATAATTGCCCCTATTTTTAATGTTAAATAGAAGCTAAATAGCAACTGTTTGCTTCTACCATTAATAAATTCATATTTCAAAAATTACTTAATTTATTGTACCTTTTAATCTTACATTTGATATATGTACATATAAAGTGTGTTTTTCTACATTTATATACCAGTTCCGAAACGGTATTATACGCTGGTCATACAGGTAGACTACGAGAATTTCACAATCGCGCCATTCAAATAAAATAAATAAGAATTCTACACTAAAATATTGCATTAAAACATACTTGTAATAAAAGACAAGTTTGTGTGCAAAATATGTGCATGTCTGGTGTAACTTAAGTCATGTTATAGGTACTTAAATAATCACAAGACTAGACTTCTTTAAACTCATGTACACCGGATCCGTCCATCCGCTCAGAATATGAGCTTAGAATGGGTATCTTAGGACCGAGTCTTTCTTTTTCAGCATAAATGGTTCACATTGCTGCAAAAAGTTATAGCTTGAGTTGGCGGATTATTTTTCTTGACAATGATCCCCTGGTGAAGTATTATACGTCATTATCGTCCGCTTGATATATGCTTTGATTTCTCCGCTTGAATTTATTCATATTTGGTGTGGCCTTAGCTTCAGCAGCAGGATTAACATCGTTTTTGATTGTCTCTTCTTTTACTGTAGCGTCATCTGTTTGCAGCTCTTCTATTGGCCCAGTTCTTTCATCAATTATCTCATGCTTGTCAATTTCGTTTACCTCAATTTCTGTTTCTTCGGGCAGCTCAATCACACTGTGGTCTGCTTCTCTGGTAATCTCGGAGGCTGGAGCTGGTAAAGATAAGTTAAGTTTTCGTTTGAGCGGCGTCGATAAAATTGAACTGTTTTCCCACGATGTATCCATGGAATAATCGAGTTCCGAACTTACATCTTTGTCATCGTCTATTTGGAAAGCTTCTTGGACTTCTTTGCCATTAGCAAGCATTGCTAAGGCAAGTGGATCATCGATCCCTAAAAGTGTACAAAATTCTGTACACTGCGGATTTAATTGGGCTGATGGCTGATTAACGTTCAAGTGTTTATAGTTCGATTGCTCCATTGGATCGAAAGGTGGCACAGTGCGACAAAAGTTTTGTGGTATATTAAGGTTTGGGAATTTGGAGCGGGCCAACTCCAGTTCTTCGGAAGTGGGTGTGAAATTAAAGCGCTCCGTTACGTTTCCCGCTTTTTTCCCCGGCAAATAGTAGTTATTATTCTTTATCGATAGCAGATGATTTGTAGTCAGCAATATGGCCAACCACTCAACATCATACTCAAGGTTTATATCCACACCTTTGGACTCTGTGGTAGTTTCCATTTCCACAACTTGAAGGAAACGTCTTTTGGGTAGGCATTTGTCTAGGGCAAGAAATTTCGTAACTGAAACTGGCTTGGAATTTCGCACTGCATTTGGACTATGAGATTTTTCATTCTCGCTCTCGCTGCTTGCGTTATCATCATCGGATTGATCGGCATCTTCTTCTACATGATGAGGCACCAATGCCGCAAATTTGCAATGTAAATGAGCCGCAAACCAATATGTCGGCCGTACACTTTTCAGAAGCTCTTCTAATGGGCGACTGCCCAGCTTACCACTCTCCATGTCATCTTTGAAGTATGGTTTAAATTTGATCAATTGTTCTTTGTTTCCATAGTCCCAAATGCCACGCGGCCAGTCATGTGACATGAAGATGTCTATTTTCCCGGAAAGCTGCTTCATTCTAAACACCTCCAACTGGCGTACATGATACACGCTGCGGCAACTAGATTGTGTGTATGGCGGGAATTCGTGCCGGCCGCGTAGAAAGTCATGACCTTTGTAAATCCCGCTGATGCCAGCAATGCGTATGCCGTTAACGTTGACGACGCCCGCATAGCCCAAGTAATAAATGTTCGGTGCAACCCAGCCACCGTATGGAAGCTCCTGCAGGTAATTCGAGGCTTCATGATTGCCGCCAATGAAGATTGTGAGCACAGGGGCCACAAGTTGACCGTTATAGTATCTGTGGAAAAAAAAGTAACCTTTTATAGAGTGGCCCTTTCTTACAAGGTTACGAACTAACTTGTAAAATGAACAAATGTCCATGTACTTCTTTGGCACCGCCATTGTTTGCAGATCCTCCAAGTTTCGTGTGGATTGGAAGTCGCCACAGCAGAGTAATAGATCAATTTTGATGTTTTTTGACTTCTCGATGCCTTTAATGGTGTCGTAGATGTTCTCCAGCTCGCCGTGAGCACAACCTTCAACTGCAATCCGCATTTCCGTGCACTTTTTCTTGTTATTTATTGCAAACACAACAAAACCACAATGCTTTTGCCGGGTGATGGTTAGCGATGGAAGAAAGTTCTTATTTTACAACACTGCACTTCAGTGATGGAAATTACGTTCAAATTTTGTCGATAACAACGTTGGATGTGGACCAGCGGAAGATTTATTTACACTGCTTGTTTTATTCCATTTTCGGAATTAACGGTACAACCCATTAAGACGTGTTTTGACGTTTAGTTGTAACTGCAAATATTACAATCAACACAAAACTTACGTCAAACTTTAAAAATGTTTTTTATTTTTTCAAAAATATCGTTCCATCTAGTACATTGTGTATATGTGTGTTCGTGCGTGTGTGTGAAGACAATACATGTAAAATGCTCAGCGTTGAGTTCCACTCTCTGACTTTTTTGTGTTGGAGTCTGTGTGTATGATCTTTGTTTAGCTTTTTGCCATATCTCTTATGAGACGACCGCTTCTAAATAATATTTAAATACATACAATGATATAAAAAGTACTATTCAACTTAATGTAAGATAATTTAGTTCACAAGAGTTGCCAATTAAACGATTTAAAAAATATAACTACAATAAATATATGTAGGTATTAACCGATCGTACGCCCATTCATAAGCCGTCGCATGCCACATACATTTGTGTGTACGAATGTCCGAAAATTAACCATCCATACGGTTTACAGCCATCAAAAAGTGCCGGCCAGCAAGCTTGGAAAAATACAATGTATGAGAAACAACGAAGTCAGAGGGTCAGTCCCCAGTATTGACGGTAGATAACATTAAGAGCCGAACTTAAAAGATGTGGGTACGGTGGTTTGAGGAAAGGCAAAGCCACCTTGCTTTTCAATCAGTTTCGATTCCTTAGCTGCTTTACGTTGGTCGGCCATTACAACCACTTCTTGCAGTGCTTTGGCTTGTTCAGGCGTAAGATTTGATGTCAGTAAAGCATACCATGCCTGATCTTGTGTAGAAAGTGCTGGAGAAAATTTAGAACGTTTATTATAACGAATCACTAAATTTAATATTATTCAGACCTACCAGTTATTACTTCCTTAAACGTCCAATACTCATCGATGGCGCTATCGTTCTCTTCGTCGTCAATGGGCGTAGTAAAGGTTTCCAGACCTGTCTCGTTTAGATCACTAACGGATTCATCGGCTTCGTCATCTGAATCTTCGTCGTCGTCCTTGATCTCAGCTTTCACTTCAAAGCCGGCTTCACCCGCCTTTGTTTTGGTGAAGTCGGCTAACTTGTTCAAGTAGTTGGGGCCCACTTCGTCCATTTCATCCTCATCGCTGGATAGGGCTTCTATTGTATATAATTATATATTAACTTATCATAATCTATTATCAATAGATTGATGTTACCCTCGCAATCTTCGCCATCTTCCTCTTCTTCTTCCTCCTCCTCCTCCTGAGCACGTGACTCATAGGCTCGCTTCAAACCATCGAATAACAATATCAGCGACGGCACTATTTCGCCGGCCACTTCGCTCAATACCTGTGGCTTAGCATCACCAAGTGAGATTAATGTGCATAGGCCAAGGACGCACAATTTGCGATCGTGAATGCTATTAAATATATGGCGAAGCTATAAATTAAAACACCCTCTTCTTAGTTTACTTATCATTAAACTTACCCCAAGAAACAGTCAGTATCATGCAACCATTGCTTAATGAAATGCGAACTTATGGGTTGGTTGTTTGGCTGCGACATCTTGTCGAGAATGCTGAGCAACAGCTGAGGATTGTAGTACAGGGCAGCGATGACCACTTGCAAGCACATCGTTCGCAACTCCGATGATTGCACCTCGCGTGTCAAACGCGAAAGAGCCAGCTCTACAAACATGTGTATCACCGAATCGATTTGTCCCTTGCACTGCAATATAATCACCTCCATCAATTTGGCAGCATGACATTCGGGATCCTCACCAGGATTTCCAGTCAGCATCTTAACAAAATCCAGATTATTGGTATTATTTTGATGAACATATGCTTTACTTAATTAATATGGTTTACTTACAGTTTTACACATATCGAGTATGGCCAGCAAACGGTTCGGATTCGATAGGAAAGCTGGTGTATCTATAGTCACATAGTTATGCAATGCCGGCATAATATCTATGAAATAATCGATGCCATCTTTCTTAAACACCTGATAGATTAATTCAAGCATTTGCCACATTTCCGGTGAAATGGATTTCGAAGTTAGATCGTAGACGAGAGAAAATGTTTCTTCATAAAATTCTGCAAGCAGGGAAACTAATAATGATACTCATTTTTAATTTGACTGTTACAAACCTGTAATGTTATGTTGGAATATGTGACCAACAACATTGATCACAATTGGATGCAAATTAAGCAATACTTCCGGATGCTCCTCCATGACGCTTAAGAGTGTTTCTATAGTGTTCAGAAGACCCATAGCTGTAATTGCTTTCTCATCGGTGCCCTCCTCCGACTCCAGTACTTGACTGAAAGTGGTGGCCAAATGCTGACAGATCTCAGTGGCCACTGGCAGCAGTTGCTCAGTAAAGGTGCAGACTATCTTCTGCATAACATTTGTCAAATCTTCGTTTTCAGTTTCGCGTATAATGGTCAGCAGCTCCTTTGTAATATCCTTAATCTGACCCTCAACGTATTGCGGCGCATCGTCCTGTGACGATAGGAACATTTGCAAACCGATAGCGGCTTCAACCTTAACCGGCAACTCTTTCTCAGTCAACAGCGCATTCGTGGTGAGACGCATAATCTCGGCCAACACTTGTGGATTCTTGATCTGCACATCGCAGAAGTAATGTAAGACCCAGCAAGCACGCGCGCGCATATGTCCCGCCGGATTTTGGAATTCAGGAAATACATAGGTGGTGAGCATGGACTCGACCTGGTCGCGATACATAGCCTTCTTGAGTAACACGTCTGCGAGCGTGCCAATCATGTGGAGTGCACCGTCCTTCTGCTTGTTGTCGGCATTAGGCGAGGTAATGATCTGCATAATTGTATTCATGGCCTTGGGCAGAATACCCTTGCGTTTCTTGCAAACGGAATGAAGAAGCGACTGGGCGGCCGGCACAGGTGTGGCATAATCTTCGAAAATGTCTGCAAAGGAAAAGTGTGATTAATGAGAATGCAATCCAAAAATTATCTACTAATCAAAGGAATCTTATGTAAAAAGCAGAACTAACGACTGATTCTTGATAAAAATCGGGACCTTTTCACCTTACCGAACTTTAGACGTATGTATTCGTATGGATCAGTTTCCCAAAGCTCTTGATCGGAATCCGTGAACGACATAATGGGAAAAATGACATCTTGAATGACTGCGACCATATGAGGTTTTATTAGTTTCCAGGTAAAGGCGTGGCTGACGCTGTAACAGCACAAAAGTTAAGTAAAACTATAACAAATATTCGTTAGTAATTTAAAGGAATACTTACGCATTCTTCAAATAGTTTAACACATCAGTGAGCACGCGTGGCGAGACGTAAACGCGATTGCGATATTGATCGAGTATTTTAAGCATTACTTCTAAAACACCAGCGCTGAAGGTGGGTAAATACCATTCGGCGAATTTTTGGTACTTATCGCTCACCACATTGCTAGGGCTGCCATAGCTGTTGAAAAAATCCTTTAAGTTTAAGTTAAAAAAAAATCTCACTTTAACATACCGCTCGAACATGCGCACCATTATGTGGAGAGCCCACTTCTTGGTTTTCCAATGGGGAAACTCGGTGCGCTCATCCTCGTCCAAGTGTGAGCAATCGGGCACAGGCCGATCTGCAATTTGGCGGCAAATTTCCATCCACTGTGAGAACACCTCATTAGTGACCAGATCCAAAGGCAGACTGTACTGTGTCAGGGCATAGTAGATCTTGAGTATTTGCTTCTGTAGCAGCAACGATTGATCCGACTGATCATTAAGCAATGTGACCATCAGTTGGTATATCATGGGCAACAGCAGGTTCATGGCCTCGTTAAGTGGTAAGCGCTCTTCAGAGCGCTTGTACTCGTATGTTTTAACTAACTGATACATAGTAATGAGCGCACCATTCCAAGCATTTACATCGGAATTTTGCAAGTAGATGCTAATGTTGTCCACTACTTGGGGCCAGCGACCGGGAAAGTCGCTTCGAATGATGTGATTCAGACAAACAGCCAATTGAACTCTGAATTAAACATACAGAGATATTTTTTTTAGTTAAGTGTATGCAATTTTAAAAATGTGAATACCACACCTGATAAGCTCTGGAGCATGCACAATAGCATCCACAATGGCAGCGCGTATCATAGCACGATCCTGTTCATGTATCGAAAAAGGAATCGGTTCACCTGGCTTTGCCTCATGATCGGACCAGCTATTATTGATTAGGTTTTTCATATATACAACTCCTGCCTGCCGAACCGGCTGTTCCAATGTGTTTTGCATAACAATTTGCAGTATTGTTGGCACAAATCCGATGATTTTGTGTATCTGAACGGTAGAATAGGGTTTTCAATTAATATGGAGGTGTGAAATTAGTTTTCACTAATAGATTTGCAAACACGTTTCGTCATAACGAACGTGCACTGTAGAGTAAATTTTTGATTTGTTTACACAGCTGGTGCGTGTACACCATGGCGTATGAGTAATCTGCAATATATTATATTTTTTGTTGTACACTAGAAATGGCTAAAACCGTATAGCAATGTGAGGGATTGAATTTTTATTGATAAAACAATTACAGTACATGTTTTGCATGACAGCGTGTATTAGGCTCTTTAAATTCTATGCACAATCCATTTGCGCGAACCTAATAAGATTCTTTTAGCGGTTGCTGTATTCGCGGTTAGCGACAGCGACGGCAATGATAATTTGCTATATTGTATATGCTGATAAAGTTAATTAACCAATAAGGGGCACGGAATTTGAAGAAGCTGAGTCAGTGAAAAGAAAGACAAATGTGTACATACATATATGAATATTATGTTTCAATATAAATCTATAGTTTAGCTAATGTCTGCATCCGGAAAGGAAAGGGCGTTGCCATAATACAGAAGCCAACCGATATAGTTTAATACATGAAAACATACTAGAAAATACAATAAACTTTGTTATATATTACCCTATGCCGCACACACATGCATATTTTTATACATTTGTGTAGCTGTAGTATGAAATAAATACAAGTACACATGTGTGTGCGCCGCCCACTGCCGTACTTGTTGCAGCAACTGACATTGCTACCATGAATGTGCCGCAGGAAAATGCGATTTGCCAGCTAATCTGATGCATTTTCCCGGTTGCTTTTATAGAAATATCAGTTTACATGTAAGACGACAACGCGATTGGCGCGCACACCCTCAACCAAATGTGTGTGATGCTAAATCACACTAAGGAGGTTAAAAGCGAACAATTAAAAAAGCACATGGTTTGTTGGTTTGAGTTGCGGTGGAAGGGAAATGATGATGGCGCTCTTACAGCTGAATCCAAACTGTCTATTAACGTGTAATTATGGGCTTGGTACATACTTGTTCCAATTGGTCCTCCGCCGCCTTCCTTTGCTCGGGATTCGGGTCAATTGTTGAGCGCAACAGTTCCGTCAGTTTTTGTGCCTCCATTTTATCGTTTATTTTCGCTAATGCTTTTGGCGCCGCCGTGAGCTCGCAATTTATGCCGGTTTTGCAGCGATTGCACACATACACACCCACAAAGCACCCACAATATCCGTGTACGATATCCTAAATATCGCAACAATAGCTCAAACTTGGCCTATTGCAAAAATATCGCGGTATAAGGAAACAACGTGGAAGCCGTCTCGCAGTCAGCAGCAAACACAGCGCCGAAATTCGCAGGTCATAAGAAGAAGCAGGAATGCAGTGCTATAAAGCGCGGAAAAAGAGCAGCTAGCGCTAGTTTAATACTTGCAATCGATATTGAAATCGATAAACGATGTAGGTGTGAATGTGACAAAGAGCGAAATTTTCTATGACACATCGTTTCGTGGGAGGTGTGGTTGCAAATTTGTAAAATTTAGTGTTTATTTAACAAGTTAGTCCATTAAAGCTAGTGTTAGGCGCAAGTTTAAAGTTAAATTAATCCAGTTTAAGCTAAACATTATCAAAATCTGCAGTCAGTATGGCAGGCAGGCTACCGGCGTGTGTAATCGATGTAGGAACCGGGTGAGTTGTTTTGCGCTGCCCGTCGTGACGGTGTCAACCCAATTGGAAAATAAGGTCGACAGAAGTTGAGCGGTCTAATATAATTTACCATGTTTTCATTTGCAGGTACTCTAAACTTGGCTTCGCAGGAAACAAGGAGCCCCAGTTCATTATACCCTCGGCTATTGCCATTAAGGAATCGGCGCGTGTGGGCGATACCAACACGCGACGCATCACAAAAGGCATAGAGGACTTGGACTTTTTCATTGGCGATGAGGCTTTTGATGCCACAGGTTACTCCATTAAATATCCCGTACGTCATGGTCTAGTGGAAGATTGGGATCTCATGGAGAGATTCTTGGAGCAATGCGTTTTCAAGTATTTGCGCGCCGAGCCCGAAGATCATTACTTCCTTTTGACTGAGCCACCGTTGAACACGCCCGAAAATCGTGAATATACGGCGGAAATCATGTTCGAGACGTTTAATGTTCCTGGTCTCTATATAGCGGTGCAGGCCGTATTGGCCCTGGCCGCCAGTTGGGCTTCCAGATCAGCTGAAGAACGTACGCTGACGGGCATTGTGGTGGACAGCGGTGATGGAGTGACGCATGTTATACCCGTGGTAAGCAAGTTGAAAGCAGAAAACTGACTTGCGTCAGGCTTATCTTATCGACAGTTCATTAATACACAATCATTTTAACTTATTTACTTATCGACAGGCTGAGGGCTACGTTATTGGGTCGTGTATTAAGCACATTCCGATTGCTGGGCGAAACATCACATCATTTATACAGAGTTTGTTGCGAGAACGTGAAGTAGGCATACCGCCCGAACAGAGTCTCGAAACTGCCAAAGCGATCAAAGAGAAACATTGCTATATATGTCCAGACATCGCCAAAGAGTTTGCCAAGTACGATACGGAGCCGAGCAAATGGATTCGCAACTTTACGGGCACGAATACTGTGACGAAGCAGCCTTTTAGTGTGGATGTGGGCTATGAACGTTTCCTAGGACCTGAAATCTTCTTTCATCCAGAATTCTCGAATCCCGATTTTACCATACCACTGTCGGAAATTGTCGATAATGTTATTCAAAACTGTCCAATAGATGTGCGACGTCCTTTGTACAACAACATTGTGCTAAGTGGCGGTTCAACTATGTTCAAAGACTTTGGCAGACGATTGCAACGGGACATAAAGCGATCTGTGGACACACGCTTGCGTATTAGTGAGAATTTATCCGAGGGGCGCATAAAGGTATGTAAAGAATATTTATATGTTGCGCACATGACTCGTCATACGATATCTTCTCTTATAGCCAAAACCTATTGATGTTCAGGTGATTACGCATCATATGCAACGCTATGCCGTTTGGTTTGGTGGCAGCATGCTGGCCTCTACGGTAAGCACGAGCTGATAGCATTTATTTAATAATATCTAAAACCTAAATTAATTCCCATTTTAGCCCGAGTTCTATCAGGTCTGTCACACAAAGGCCGCCTATGAGGAGTATGGTCCCAGCATTTGCCGTCACAATCCAGTTTTTGGCACCATGACATAATCGGTCCATATTTTTGTCCACTTACTCCATTTATTTTTTTGTTCGATTTCTGATTCTGTTCGTACGATTATGTATTCCATGCTAAAGTATTGCTTAGGTGAACCACTTAAGTGTTAGTAATGATTTTCTACGTGTTTAGGTCTAAAGTTGTAGCCGCAGCCAATACACACAAAAGTTAGTGTTGCTTTATTGTGCCCTGTAAATTTTGGTCTATGTTCATTTGTGCGTTTTTTCGGTTTAATTTCATTTAGACTTATATAATTCATAACTATGTCTGCCAGTTAAAATTTCTGCAAGATGCATTAATTTTGCGATATTTAGAAGCATAACTTTTTGTAAACCACAAACACAATACAATACCCGCCCCCAAAGGCCCAACTCTAAACACAATTGCATATATATATAAAATGAAATTGTACTTGTCATAGTAATATTTATATTGCAATAACTGCAAAAGGTTTATACATACATAAAAAAAACAAAGACAATGAAATATTGATGAAAAATCTGTTTGTTATATTGGTAAGCATAATTGAAAAATGGCATTAATTAAATCAATAAAACATTCTTTAAGCTCAAAATGAACGTTTTCCTTGCCAGAGAAATAAAGAGAATAATTAAGTTATATGAAAAAAATTGTGATAAAGCTGTCATCGGTGGAAAATCAGTCTAAATTCTGCTATCCAGTTATCTATTCTCTAGATGAATTCGTAAGAATAAACCACTCACCATGTTTCAAAATAATGACGAGAAAATTTTATTACTGAAACACGTATCGTATTCGGATCGAAAAATTAGCTAGGGTATAGATTTTGTGTCTGGTGTTTTGGAAACATTCAAGAAATCGGGTTGAGTGCATATAAAGCTATAAGTATAAATTGTTTTTAACTTTTATAACGATCGCATATTATGTTTTAAAAAATGTATGCACAATGGCAATTGACATTTATAAGCATCCTTTAGTCAATATAATCGCTGGAGCCTTCTTCCTCGTCATCATTGGTACTTGACTGGGCAGCAGCTGTTTCCGGGGACCGCAAATGCTCCGCAATACGAAAGTTGTGCAAGAAATCGCGCATAGCGTCCATAATGGAGTTCAATGACTGTGTCAGCTCATTGTATGAGGCGTTCGATCCAGCTTTTGAGAAGTGAAAACGCGTATAATATTATACTCCACATTATTACACTATTGCTTACTTTATTAAAAAATAGACTATAGAATAAATTACCTTCAGCCTCAACATTGTCCAGCTGTTCATTAAGTTCACGGGCACGTCTCAAAGCGTCCAGCGGCTCCACGCGTTCCGCTGCCGCTGCAGCTCCAGCAGCTTCCACAGGCGGCTGAACAGCGGCTCTTGGTACCTGTTCCTGCTGAGCTGCAATGTTATTTAAATTGAACGTGGGCAAAAGCGACTGGAAAAACATGGAGACGGAATTGCTCGCGTTTGCTGTGGGACTGCTGCTGGACGACGACTTTCTGTGATTGGGGAGGTTTTTATATTAACGATTTTGTCATGGCAATGGCATGGCGATTTTGTCTCTTACCGCTGATAGCAGTTGACGGTGTCCATGGGAGGCAGCGGATCATATGTCATTATAGCTTGCTTTTCTTTGGAAACAAACACAGCTAGTGGCACCTTCTCCTTGTAGTCGGAGAGAATGACGTGGCGTAAAATAGGCCTTGGTGGTGTTCCATAACGCAAATCGCGCTTCTCTTTGTAATCAGCAATTACAGCATCCTTGCTTTCAATTCGATCCAGAGCTACGTTCACATTCGACTCAAGCCAGGGGAGTACATCATTTTGACGCCAAACGATTTTTGCTCGACAGACATACAAACAGACCAGTTGATGCAATGCCGGCGATTGACTGGAAAGAATATAGTTATTTAAGAGAATATAGACACTTTATATTATAGACAGTTCACCTGCCAGACACTTCCGATTGGAAGTATGAAGAGGATAGCACACGCTTATCTGTCTGCACGGACATTTCGTCAAGCAGGGGTTTTAAAACGCCAGGGAACATAAGCAGGGCGAATTGCAAAGACTGGTTGGCGCGCTCACAGGAGCCATGTAGCAAAAAAAGTGCTAATGCATAAGAATAGGCCATATTGGGCAATTGTGACAAATTACGGGCCACATTCTGTTGTTCATAGTAATCGACTAGCCAATCATATTGCTTGCTGCGCAGTGCATAATAATCAATAACCAAAATCATGGCCAATGGATCAACATCGGGCTGCAGGCTTAACACCAACTTTGATATCTCAAATGCTGTGCGGCAACAGGCACGCTCTTCCATATATTGGGCATGTTTAAAAAGCACAATGAAGAAAGCTCGATTCTCCTGCCGACGATAATCCAGTCGTGAATTACCCGATGTTAGACTAAAGTTTATGTGCAGCGATGACTCGAGGAGAAGCAGAGCACGCTCTATTAGCTCTGAGGCCAAGGCAAAGTCCTCTGTCATTTTGCACAGCTCGCTCAGCTGTATGAGCGAGTCGACGTGATAGGGGCAGCGTTTGATAAGATTGATCAAAAAGTCGGAGTCGGTGCGCTCCAAAGCAGACAGGAACATGTGCTGAATTCCCTGGTAATATTGGCTATGCTCGAATGTGAACCACTGAACCTTCTCGTCGTTAATTTGTATCTTCGGGCTAGTGGAGGAGTCGGGCGTATCGGGCATGGGCAGCGACTTCATGGTTATTATGTTTTTTGTTAACGGTGGCCACGACTCCTTGGCTGAAACCATGTAGGTAGACTTCAGAGTAGGCTTCTGACGACCACGCTTGGTTCTGAAATATAAGGCACGTACATACACATAAATATTTTCTTTTGGCAGTTATTAGTAAGTACTTACTCAACTTTTACAACACGTTTGCCAAACGTACGCCGCATTTCGTTTTGTGGATTGAGATGCTTCAGCTCTACGATGAGCAACTTCTTGTTAACATTACAATTACCAGCCACTGCCAGTTTCTCGGATTGTTTGGGAACAGCATCATAAACCTTTCCCAGCAATGGATCAACTTTATCAAAGTACCGCTCGTTATCCTCGCTGCTTATATGATTGCCGCTTGACTTGACCTTCTTCTTACGCTTCTTTTTTTTCTTCTTAGCCGCAGCGCTGGCATTCGGTAGATTGGTTGCTGCTGAGGCATGCTCCGTTTCATTGTCATCCTCCTTGAACTCACTCTCCGAGAGGCTTTGTTGATTTAACTGCAATTGAAAGTCTGCATTGATGCCGAGTCGTATTACGTAGGCCAGACAGCACTTACCAAATCAAATGGATTCAAGTGCGATTTTCGGTCTCGCACCATGTCCAATTCGTCATTGTCCGAAAGATGTTCATTTTCTTCTTCGTCGTCCTCCGGCGGTAAGGGCAAGTCGTCGCCACCTTGAAGTTTCTTTAGCATACGCACCGACATACTGATTGTTAAATGCTTTGTATTAATTTAATATGCATATATAGAACTTTTAGCTTTACACAAATAACAGCCTAAGCATGCAATGACGTCTGAATCTTTTTTTTTTTTTTTTTTTTTTTTTGGGTTTAAGTTACCACGATGCCCTTGGGTATTGTGGAATTATTTGGCCGCCCACTTATTGGTGAAGTGGAAATTGCCACACTAGATAAATGTAGGATGTTGCTTGAAATTACAGTTTGACTTTTGTGTCATTTATGAAGTTTACTATTGCGTTATATTCTTGAACCGCCTCATGCTTAAAGAAAGAGTGCAGATTGTTATATTTGGTTAGCGATGGGACGCGTTGTCGATTTGTATTATGTTTTGGACATTCAAATATGATGTGTGATGCGCTATCGGGAACGCCGCAGCTGTTACATTTGTTATCGTCGATAACATGCATTTTTGAAAGAGTGACTTTATCGAATGTGTATCCACTAAGCAGTCTATTAATTAGTTTTGTATTGTTTGCGTTAAAATTGCAGCTCTTATTTTGGAACCACGGTTTTCCAAGCGTGGTCGGAAAAAGTGCGCAGTATGCTCTGTTTTTCTCTGCCACGAATCTGGCGTACTCTAGTTCCCATTCGTCATGGATTAGACTGTACATGGTACGCACTGCATCCTTTAAGCTCCATTTTAGCACCATGAAGGTGCCGTCTGTTGTTGCTCTTTTGGCTGCCGTGTCCACCGCGGAATTTTGGGGAATACCCACATGTCCCGGTATGAAATGTAACTCTACAGCTAAAACACTGGAACAGTTATTAATTTTTCTTTTAATGTTGTTTGCTATGGAATTGTTAAGCGAATGATTTATTAGTGTTTGCACGCTGCCTCGGCTGTCCGTTAAAATTGCCACATGGGAAATTCTCAACCAGATTGCATGATCAACTGCCTTTTCAATTGCAATAAGCTCTGAGGAGAGAGACGAGAGGATTTTGTTTGTATAGAAACTATCTACAAACCCTGATTCTTCCTGCAAAAAAGCAGAGCTTGAGTGGCTGGAGGTGACCGATCCGTCGGTAAAATATAGCTTAAAGCCTCTGCTTCTCAGACTGGAGGCTTTCTCATTAAAAATCAGGCGCATGGTTGAATTATCCATGGACTGCTTGTTTCTTGCTGAGCCCTTCAAAAAATCCGTGTCTCCTTTCATTTTTGCGCATTTGAGAGGTATTAGAGGAATCTCTTCAATGTGGTCTAGTATGTTAGCAAACCTCCTGTAAACCCTCGCATAACTAGTGTTTATCGTGCTGGTGGATGACAGCAAATCGCAGACTGGTAAATTGAAAGCAAATGCTTTTGCCAATTCTTTGGCTGTGAGGAATAAAATCCTGAAATCCGGTGGCATCTCTGCTGCCATGTGGTAGATGATTTGAATGGGGGTACATTTTATTAGTCCTAACGCTTTTCTCAGGTGCATATTGGTATGGCTTTTGACCTTAGCTAGGGCTGTCTTGGATAGGCTGCTAAAAGAGGAGCACGCGTATTCCAGCCTGCTCCTGACGAAAGCCTTGTGCAACAAGATTCCTTGCCTAGGACTGACACCGTATTGACAGCCGCTAAAGAGCCTGATGAACGCACATGATTTATTGGCCTCTGAGATAGCCTGACTAATATGGGTGCATGCCGAGTTATTTGCTGTTATGTTCCTGCCTAAATAGCTGATTTGTGCAACTTCCTTAATGTGGAAACCTTGGCTTACCAAATTTAGTTGTCTTCTGCGTGAGCTGAAGTGAATGACTTTGGATTTGGCTGGATTAAAAGATAAGTTGAGCCTGCTGCATTCTCTTTCAAATTTTTCTATTCTTTCACTTAGCGTTAAAACGGCTAAATCAAACTTCTTGTGAAAACAGATCAGAAAGAAATCATCTGCATATTGAAAAAGCAGACAGTTCGAATTGTTTATGGTGTGTAACTTGGCTGTGTAAATGTTGAAAAGAGTGGGACTTAAGCAGCTACCTTGGCAAACTCCTCTATTTATTTCAGCTTTGCTCGACCCCTTTACCAGATATCTGCGTCGGAGGAAATCAGTTATCCACCTTACCTGGTGTGGATCAAACTCCACGGCACGAAGCTGGTGGTCTAAGGTTTCAATATCCACACAGTCAAAAGCCTTTTTTAGATCTAGACATGCTGCCACAACTTGGAAACCCTCAGTCTTAAGGTATTGGATCTTGTTAATTAGATCGTTTATGCATAGAGCTGTCGATCTTCCTTTCCTGAAAGCATATGATCTTTCCGGTAGCAGGTCGCGACTGGCAATATGTTCGTCGAATTTCATTTTGATTAGACCCTCTACTGTTTTTAACAGAACACTAAGCAGGCAGATTGGTCTGTGGTTACAAACGAGGTCAGAGTTTGAGCCCTTTTTTGGTACCGGCACCAGCCTGATCTGTCTCCAGGATTCTGGGAAGACTCCAGCCCGCCAAATGTCGTTTATCATATTAAAAAGTTGATTCTTCTTAGGGTTCGGTAATGTCTGCAGCATCCTATACGAGATGCCATCGAGCCCACATGCCGAATCTGGATTTCTCGCATTCAACACTGACATAAAATCCTCAAAGTTAAACAAAATGGGGACCCCTTCCTGGACCAATGATGTCGCCATACGTGGACAACTGAATGTTGTGGTTGGCGTGTTCTTTACTATCATAAGGAACTCCTCGTCCTCTGCTTTTGACCAGGTGTTAGCTGTCCTTTTCATTCTTTTATAAAGTTTTAAATGTCTTGTTCCATTCCACAGTGTGGGAGCTGTCGTCATTTCGTCAATATACTGCCTAAAATTAGCTCTGCGACAGTTTTTTATTTGGTTTTGCAGCTTTGCTTCTGCTACCATGAGTAGCTCCGCATCTTCCAGCTTTTTGGTGAAATAGAACTTTTTCCTGCAGGCATTTCTAAGGCGAAACAGCTTGTCAACTTCCTCGTTCCACCATCTCTTGGGTACATATTTGTTTTTGCTTGATACCGTAATTGTATTGGTTTTTGTGATAAGGCGAACATTGCCATTGAGTGAATCCAGGTTTGAAAAGTCACTATTAGCGAAAACTCTCGCAATCCTATTATGAAGTACCTTTTTGTGACTTGTATTCGCGCAGAATTGGACCAAGTCTATTAAGACTGGAAAATGGTTGCTGTTTGTTAGTTTGCTGCTTTGAGCCTGCCATCTATATTGAATACTACTCGTATTGCAGAAAGTCAGATCCAGCACCGAGCTTTGACCTGGGCAACGAGAAAACGTAGGGGAGCTGTCGTTCATACATACAAAGCCCGAGTTAGCTGCCGCCCGTTCCAAGCCATGTCCTTTGCCGTCGCTACTGGAGCTGCCCCATGTTGTGGATTTGGCATTAAAATCCCCACATATTAGTGAAGCAATGCTCAATGATGCCGCATACTCGAAAATTTCTTTTGCCCCCTTTTTCAGGATAGACACTGATAATGAGGGGGCCGCATAGATACCGTAAAGGCACAAATTTCTCTTTAGATTTAGGGTCTGAATGCCCATACATTCCATGTCGTTTTTAATCTTTAGGATTTTGAATTTGATTCCCCTTCTTATGTACATCCCTACTCCACCGTATCCGTCTTCCCTTGGCTTTCCATAAAAGTTAAAGTCAGGAATTCCACACTCTGAATTGTCTTTCACCCATATTTCCGACAGAATGGCGATGTCTATGTTGTTGTTTAGGAGGAACATGTGAAGAATTTGTTTGTTGTTGTTGAAAGTCAGGCTTTGGATGTTGAATTGGAGGATTCTCATATTGTTGCTGTGCTTGTCAAGGCCGAGGCGATGCAAATTTGATTTGCATCTAGCTCCGCATTAGCAGCATTTATGAGATCCCTGATTTCCTCCCAGAACTGTAGAGATGGGCCCGCTCCGCTATTTGGGTCCGTTATGAAGTTAGATATTTTCTTTTCCACTATATTAAGTTTTTCTTGGGCTAAAGACACTTTGGTGGTACCAACTTCAAGCACCTCCGCTCTGTGAGCGGTATCTGCCAAGTTATGACTAGTTGTATTGCCGTATCTGGACGGCTTGGGCTTGGATGTTTCCCCGAGAGCTCTGCCTGGAAGCCTAGCTACCCTGGCATATGGTGCAATGGGATGCACCTCCTTCGCCACTTCGTGGCTGCTGTACTCGCGCTTTCCTGAGCTATTATTTAGCCTTCTTAAAAAAGGGAATTCTGACTGATCTCTTAGATCAGGCACCGTCCTCTTAAAGAGAGACGGATGAGTCTTCTTAATTTCTGCTCGGGACATATTCTCCAAGGCCATACACTTTTGAATAGCGAATTCCTTTTGTCTGGCTGCACAATGGGGTGATGTTGCCATATGGCCTTCTTTGCAATTGGCACAAGCAATATCAGTGCAAATGTCCTTTCTCTCATGTTCTTTTCCGCACTTATAGCACCGTGCACTCCCCTTGCAGTGCTTGGCCATATGGCCAAAACGTAAGCAACGGAAGCATTGTTTGAAGTGTATAAACGGTTGTACCGCCACCTTTGTATATAGAAATTTTATTTCTTTTGGCACCTGGTGTCCCTTAAACCAGATCTTTACTCTGGAGGTAGGGACCAAGTCCCCTGTGTCCCTTGATTTTTTGAAAATTCTCTCCACCTGCATTATGGGAATGTCCGCCGACAGGAGTTCCATCATGTGGTCGGTTGACATATACGTGGGAATGTTAAAAATAATCCCAGCCTTTCTAGTGAAATGCTTAAAAATGTTGGCCTCGAAGCCGTGAACAGCGAGAGCTTCCAATGAGGCCAGGTCATTGGCGCTTTGCGCCGACACACAAGTGACCTTACACCTGCCATGCCCTATCCTGCTTACTTCTTCTATGCCACTGATTTTTAGCGAAGAGAGCAGCTCGATTAACTCGAATTGGTTAATCGCTTTGCGTACTCCCATTTCGCTAGCCTTGTCCACATAAACAATAAAAGGACCCTTGTGGTCCCCGTCATACTGCATGGCAACCACAATTTCCTTGTCGACCACACTTTTGCTTCCCGCATTTATTTCATCAGAAGTGGTAGAAATCTTGGAATTTTTCGACTTACATGAAAGTCCGTCCTTGTCAACTTTTACGTCATTTACCGCAGTTGCCTGTTTACCAACACTTGTATTTGGCGCGCTTTTGGTTGGGCCGCATTTGGCTGGCGCGTCGTTCTTTCCCTCTTTAGTTCTGCGAACTGATGGTGCTTCTTCCTTTTTGGGCACCTCGTTAGGGTTGGCGCGGCGACTGGTGGTCCCAAAAGCCCCGGTGGTGCATACTTGTCCTATCGGACGACCAGCTTTACTCCTGCCTGCCATAAAGCCTCGAAGTGCACGTTTCTGCACGAATGCTGCGTTTCTGTTGAAATCGAATCCTTTAATTAGTTTAAAAGTTGCAAATCAATAAGTAATGTGCTGTAGCACATTAAAACCGAAAAAAGTTGCTGATAAATTCAAATTCCACGAACTGCCCGTTAGCAGAAAAACGAAAAAACTTGAACACTGATACCCGACCGCGATGTTGTCTCCTCAGAAACCTAAAAGCAACTGGACGTCTGAATCTTAATACGTTTCTTTTTCTGTTAGCCGTAGGAAAACACTATTCGGCCTTGCCGGATCGCATGAGAGATTACTAGCACCTAATTAATCCTTCAATCATATTAAAATAGTTTATAATTGCGGGCGTGGTAAATTATTATAATGCTGAAGAGTCAAACTCTGATGTGATTATTATCGGGAGCGCTGCTACCTATACATAATTTATTAAATATTGTTCGCGCTGCTTACGCTGTCTTATCGTGTAGTCTCTGCAAATTTTTGGGATTCGGAATAACTAATTCAATGATCATTTTGCAACACTAACACGCTGACGCTGATTCTTCTTCTTCGTCGCCGCGCAATTTTTGCAAAGAAAACCTTGTCTGGCGGAATTTCTGTAGTAAATGTGTTAAGTGGTTAAACAATTATTTACAAATTATTCCTTTGCAAACGGAAGCGGTTGTGTTATTTGCACAAGCGTCAAGATGTCTAATATTGTGCTTGATAAGGATTCATTTTTGCGTCGAATAAAGCGGCTCTACACAGAGTGGAAGGTGAGGCAGTCTCAATTTTTTTTTATGTCGCGGGTGCCGCAAAAATTATGCCACTAGCCAATGTAATATCCTTGCCACAAGCTGACGGGCAGTTGGGCGAGATAATTATAATTTGCCAATATTGTGAAATTGCTTTGTTTTTCAAACAAACAAAATGCTCTCAAAACTTAGGTTAGAACGCGCGCGGCACAGCGGACGATTTCATACACTATACATATGTATGTGTGTACATACATATATATGTTTGAAAGTATGTGTGTATGATGTGCGATTTAAATCTTTACAGGCTCCTAGTGTTGGCCACGATGATGCCTTAAGCAATTTGGACTGCATCATGAGCGTGGTGGGCGTAGATGAGGATATAGTCTACTCAAAATCCATGGCCCTGCAACTGTGGCTGCTTGGATACGAGCTAACAGATACTATCTCAGTGTTTGCCTCAGATGCCATCTACTTTCTCACGAGCAAAAAGAAAATTGACTTCTTGAAACAAGTCGAGAATATCAGTGAAGAAGGCGTGCCGGAGATAAAGCTACTCGTGCGCGATCGGGTAAGTAGCGCAGCATCCTACGAATCGACTTCATAGCTAATGCCTATATTTTTTCTTAATAGACGGATAAGGATAAAAACAACTTTGAAAAGCTTATTAAAATTATACAGAACTCGAAAAAGGGCAAACGGCTTGGAGTTTTCACCAAGGATGCGTATCCCGGTGAATTCTGCGGTAGCTGGAAAAAGTCGCTGGATGAAGCCCGTTTTGAACATGTCGACATTAGCGTTATTATTGCATATTTGATGTGTCCAAAAGACGAGTCTGAGGTCAACTATATGCGTAAAGCTTCTCTGGTATCAGTGGACATATTCAATAAGTATTTGAAAGACGAGATTATGGATATTATTGATTCCGATAGGGTGAGCTAACGCCTATTATTTAAAAACAAGGCTATTTATATTTATCGCTCGGTTTGCAGAAAGTCAAACATGTCAAACTTTCGGAAGGCTGCGAGACGGCTATTCAGGAAAAGAAGTACACCGGCGGCTTGGAGCCAACATATTTGGAAATGTGTTATCCGCCCATCATACAATCGGGCGGAGCTTACAGTTTAAAGTTCTCAGCTGCCGCAGATAAGAATCATTTACATTTTGGCGTTATTGTATGCTCGCTGGGCGCGCGATACAAATCATACTGCTCGAACATTTCACGCACGTTCCTTGTTAATCCCACTGAAACCATGGAGGAGAACTACACGTTTCTTGTGAACGTTCAGGAAGAAATACTAAAGCTGCTTGTACCCGGTGCCAAGTTGTGCGATGTGTACGAAACCACGTTAAGCTATGTGAAGAAAGAGAAACCGAAAATGGTCGATAATCTCACAAAGACATTCGGCACGGCAATGGGAATTGAATTTCGAGAGAACTCCATTGTAATTGGGCCTAAGTGTCAGGCATTAGTCAAAAAGAATATGGTCTTCAACGTGCACGTCGGGCTTTCGAATTTGTTGAATCCAGAAGCTGCCGATAAGGAGGGCAAGACTTATGCATTATTCATAGGTGATACGGTACTCGTTGGCGAACAGGCGCCAGCGAGCGTGATGACACCATCGAAGAAGAAAATCAAAAATGTAGGCATTTTTATAAAGGATGATGATAGCGAGGAGGAGGAAGTCGACAATAAGAAAGCTTCCAAGGACGATCAGGGCACCGAGATACTGGGACGCAGTAAGCGAAATGCTGTGCTTGAGTCTAAGCTGCGAAACGAGATAAACACCGAGGAAAAACGCAAAGAGCATCAACGAGAGCTAGCGCAGCAACTGAATGAAAGGGCGAAGGAACGTCTGGCCAAGCAGGGGAACTCTAAGGAGGTGGAGAAGGTGCGCAAGAACACTGTTTCCTATAAGTCAATGAGTCAAATGCCGAGAGAACCCGATGTGAAGGAGCTAAAGCTGTATGTGGATAAGAAATACGAGACGGTTATAATGCCCGTGTTTGGCATTCAGGTGCCGTTCCATATATCCACCATAAAGAACATTTCGCAGTCCGTTGAGGGGGAGTATACCTATTTGCGTATCAATTTCTTTCACCCTGGCGCCACAATGGGCCGCAACGAGGGCGGTCTCTACCCTCAGCCCGAGGCCACCTTCGTTAAGGAAGTGTAAGTGAAGGCACATTATAATGGCTGCTCTATATTTTAATTTAATTTTTTTCTACAGCACCTATCGCAGTTCAAATGTAAAGGAACACGGTGAAGTGGCTGCACCGTCTTCAAATTTGAACAACGCTTTTCGACTGATCAAGGAGGTGCAAAAGCGTTTTAAAACACGCGAGGCCGAGGATCGCGAAAAGGAGGATCTGGTGAAGCAAGACACCTTAATATTGTCGCAAAACAAGGGCAATCCGAAACTTAAAGATTTGTACATTAGACCCAATATTGTGACAAAACGCATGACGGGAAGCTTGGAGGCGCACACCAATGGCTTCCGCTACATTTCCGTCCGTGGCGATAAGGTGGACATTCTGTACAACAACATAAAGAGCGCCTTCTTTCAACCCTGTGATGGAGAGATGATCATATTACTGCACTTCCATCTAAAGTACGCGATTATGTTTGGCAAAAAGAAACACGTCGATGTACAGTTCTACACAGAGGTCGGCGAGATCACCACAGATCTGGGCAAACACCAGCACATGCACGATCGTGATGATTTGGCCGCTGAGCAAGCAGAACGCGAGTTGCGCCACAAGCTCAAGACAGCATTCAAGAGTTTCTGCGAAAAGGTCGAGACCATGACCAAGGCACAGGTAGAGTTTGATACCCCGTTCCGTGAACTCGGCTTTCCAGGTGCACCCTTCCGCAGTACAGTGACGTTGCAGCCCACATCCGGTTCCCTCGTCAATCTTACGGAGTGGCCGCCATTTGTCATCACATTGGACGATGTGGAGTTGGTCCACTTCGAACGTGTACAGTTCCATTTGCGCAACTTCGATATGATATTCGTATTTAAGGAGTATAACAAGAAGGTGGCAATGGTGAACGCTATTCCGATGAACATGCTCGACCATGTTAAAGAGTGGCTCAAGTGAGTAAGCAAAAGGCATTACTAAGAGTTGATTATAATGGTTGATTTAAACCTGTAGCTCTTGCGATATTCGGTACTCGGAGGGCGTGCAGTCATTGAATTGGGTTAAAATTATGAAAACGATCACGGACGATCCGGAAGGTTTCTTTGCTGAAGGCGGCTGGACCTTCTTGGACCCTGAATCGGGTAGTGAGGATGAAAATGAAACCGCTGAATCAGAAGAAGATGAAGCCTATCAGCCCAGTGATGCTGAGACCGACGAGGAATCCGATGATGATGATTCGGAATACTCTGAAGCGTCTGAAGACGAAAGCGATGACAGTGACGGTAGACAAACATGTCTTTCCAGAATTTTCAAGAAAATTATTTAAAAACATATTTTTTTGCAGAAGATTTGGGTTCCGATGAAGAATCAGGCAAGGACTGGTCTGATCTGGAGCGAGAGGCCGCCGAAGAAGATCGCAACCACGATTATAATACAGACGATAAACGAAACGGCAAATTTGAATCGAAGAAACAGTCAAAGAGTTCCAAGCACAGGTATAAAGAGTTATCCCATTTCCATTATCTTACCATAGGAACATTGACCTCACTTATGTGGAGGCCCGTTTTTTTAACATCGTGTACTTAAAGTTAAATACTTTCTTTTTAACTATTGCATTATGCACACACAGTCGTCGCGACCGTATGGAGCAGCGATCATCGCACAGTAAAAAGCATAAGTCGAATTCCTCCTCTACTTCTTCACATTTAAAATCCTCCAGCTCCAAACACGGCAGCTCATCTAGGTTTGTTAACAACAAATTACACACATAACGCAAACAAATACACATTCATTTACACAAATCCTATCATTCGATCGACACGCCCTCAACAAAGCATAAACCCCAACAGAAAACTACATGAGAAATTTTCTTTTTAACTCCTCTGGTCAACTTAATGTTTATGAAGTAAAATAGGTCTGTAGGTAAAGCAAATAATTTGTAAAAGCTCAAGACAAATGATATATTAAATTTACTATTTTTTAAAGCTAATAAATTCATGCAAAATTTCTAATTGTACATTTTTTTATAATTTTTTATGATGTTTTTTTAATTCTTACAAAACAATTAAACAATTGTTTGGATCTAATCATTAGGAAATGTCAAATAATTGGCTAAAATTTTACTATTTGTTTATTTTATTATATTTGTTATATCGGAAGAAAACTACTTTTAAAGAAAGGAGGACTTTTGTGTTCCGATTCAAAATAGCAGGACTAATAAAAAGACTTCATAAACTATGCGAAATTCTGCTCAAAATTTTTAACACATACCAACACCATTTTTTGTTTTGTTTTGCTTCTTAAAGTCCATTCAATAATAAATATTATTTTTATATTACAATTAATTCTTAATCTTTTTAAAGCCCCACGAAATCGTCCAAGGATAAATACAGTAATCGCGACAAGCATCATTCCTCCTCTTCGTCGGGACATAAGAGTAGCAAGGACAAAGATAAGGATCGGAAACGTTCTCGCGACGATAGTCGCGAACATGGCCACAAGTCGAAGAAATCACGTCATTGAAGCCACGCACCACGTAAGGATTGAGCGAAGGACGGCACATTATACGTCTTTATGTAGTTTAAGTCGACCTTTATACATACATATATATTATATATGTATAACGTACATTTCTACGCATAATGCTTTGTATTGTTAAATGCGTTCATAAGGTCAACCCGCCCTAAATACAATTTCCAATTTATACATACTATTTATTGTTATAGGCAGCAGACGTCTTTTCTTTTACTCGTCCATTCATATTTTTTGTATTTTTTAACTCTCATTGCACCATTGAAGATTGTATTACAAATTAAATAATGATAATAATATTAATAAACCTATGTTTAAGAAGCCATTTATGTATATTTTATTCGTTGGCTACTTGTTCCAATGCCCAAGCAGATGACGATACGCATGCACCTCATTGCTGTCCCGCCGCCCAAGGCGGGGTTGTTGAAGATGTTTGTTCGATTGGTGCTGCTGTTGTCTGTGGGATGCGCTGCTGGGCGCCAGTGTGGTAAGAGCGGCCACGCTGCCGCGTCTCATCTTGGCATCAAACATGTTGCGGGTCTTGTTTATGGGATAACGCATTTTGTTCTTCAGCCAGGTGGTGAAGGCACGCTCATTATCCTGCATCTTCTTCAGCTCCTGCTCACTGCGACTGAGCGTCTGTTCCAATGCAAAGTGCTGCTTGCGTCGCAGCTGCTGATCCCGTCGGTCCAGCTGTTGCGCACTCAATCCGTATTCGGACAGGTAGCCCGTGTACCGCGGCAATTTCTCCTGCAGCGAGTGGCGATGCTCGCAACAGGTCTTGTAGTTTAGTTTAATGTCCGGCACATGTTCCGTCGGTCTGGGCTTGGCCTTACGTCGAAACGAGAAGCGACGTGTTGTGAAGAAGTTTTTTGTGGATTGCTCACTTCTCTGGAGTCCCCTGCTTTTGTTACTACTCGGCTTCCCATTAGGTTGTTCATCTAAATCCTCGTCCTTTTTGTAATAAATGCTGCGCTCATTGAGTTCGAAATTGTCGGGTATGTAGGAAGCCACTATGATAGACAAATCATCGTCTTCATCATCAGCACCATTGCTTTGGAGATTTGTTTTTGTTGGCCCTGTGAGTTCATCAATCTTGGCCTGCTCCTCAGCACCCAGTGTTTGGTAGAGACTTTTGTACGCCTGCCGGAGTCTCAGTCGTGCTTCGTTAATTGCACGTTCATCTTCTTCGCAGTCTGATTCGGTCAGTAAATTGGTCAAACTTTTATTATCCGATTCGCCATCATGGTCGAATGTTATTTGGCGATCCAGATGACGTTGATTGATTGTCGTGGGAGCTGCCTCATTTCGTTGTTCTGAATCGAAGAGATCGTTCTCATCCACTCCTGAAAAATCATCGTCGTCGTAGTCGTTGTCCTTTATAAATTCGGACTCTTCTGGTTGTTGAGAAGGCTTTTGGTTTGGGATGGTTATTGGACTTTCCATGTCAACAACATCGAGTATTTCTTCAGATATTTCTTCCTCCTCCGGTTCCTTAGGATCTTGTTCAGTTTCCTGTAGATGCTGTGGCTCAGTTTCCGCCTCAGGTTCGGTAACTTTGTTGTCTTCAATGAACTCGGATTCCAAGCTCTTCAATGCCGGCGCCTCTTCCTCTGCAATTGGCGCGAAGTGTTCACTTCTAAGTGTTAGTCTTGTCAGTTCTTGCACCAGCAATATTGATGAATCGTCCTCTTCTTCCGTGCTGTCCGAGTTTGATTTATTTTGTTCGCACGGGCTCGGCTCGTAATCCTCCAGATTTGGGGCAAAGGTAACTTTGCGCCCATTTGCACTGTCGCTCATGGTACCAGATGCCGCATTAGGTGGTGGACCCTCATTGTCGAAGAGCTCTTTATTGGCCTCCTTGATTTTGTCGACAATGTTGTACTCGTTGACTGGCTTTAGAACTGCAGAATAATCCATTAAGAGGGACATGTTGTTATTGTTTTCGATGCTCTATAACGACTTAACTTTGGTGTAAAGTACAACTTACAATAGACCTCACAATCCTCGTCCGATTCCGCCTCGTGCTCATACATCTCTGGGCTGACTTTGATTCGCGACGAATTACGAATTTGTACTTCGACTGCGTTTGTGTATTTTTAGACAGTTCTATGGATATTGCGTGTGTGTATGTTTGTCTGTCTGTCTGTCTGACTGTTTGTTTGTTGGCCTTTTCGGTTTTTTTTTTTTTAGGGTCGTACAAGTACAATAATTTATGATCCGTGCTTCTTAGTTCGATGCAAGTGGCTAAAACTTTCCATTTCGTGCCGCCCCCAAACCTGGGCGCTCATTAAAGTCGAATGAACTTCAATATAGCCGATATAGGAGGCACTCCAAAGCAGACACGACAAGCACATATGTACGTTTGTTGTGGTTATCCTGGTGGCGAGAGCGACATGCCACCACTCAATGTAAAATGCGTCCAATGACGCCGTGCCGAGCCCAGAAAGTCAATTGGAATTCCAATTTACTGGCTGGCCCAATGTTTGATCGATGCCGACGATGCGACGTCGCGTTGACAATTTGTACTTTGCTAATGGGGTGGGGTAGGGAGAGGATTTAAGAGATAGGATATAATAGCAAAGCACGACAATAACAGAGCGAGTTTTGTTTCGAATTCCATGCACTTTATTTCTTCATACCGCTTACTTGGCTAATATGCACATTTAAAGCTTAATATTGCCGGCGAGCATCGGCGATGGCTAATAAACTAGAAAAATAAACATAATTACAATATCAATATATGTGTCTAACTAAATATAGCTCTATAGAATGTTAACTCTATTGAGCAACGCATTTGATTGTTTCCCAAACGGTTGTTTTCCTCGTATTTTCATCGCCAATTTATAATCGGAAACAACTTTGTGGTCTTAACTATTGAGCACTAGGTAAAATTCATTTCGATGTGATGTTATTTCTTGCCACGCCCTGCATTCGGAAGACGAGGCCTCAATGGTGCAACAGTGCGTATGAGTGTTGTGTGTAGTTGGCATAAAATGGCTTATATATATGTATTTATGCACGAGACATGTGTGTTTATGAATAACCAGTGAATAAATCGACTTTCCCTTCCCAACTATCCTTGAACTTTGAAGTACTCGCACATTAAAATATCAAGCCTGTTAATCAACGATTTCTTTCGTTTCTATCTAATGAATGAATGCGCTCGTTTGACCGCGTTTGCAAATAGCGGTTATTAAGTTTTTCTTATTATACGTTAAGAACCCAAGTCGAAACTAGTTATTGTTTAATGATTTATTATAGAACTATTAGTCAGTGAACGTAATGCGAAATGTCGCTTAATGATGCAATCAAAACAACTTAATAATTGAAATAAGCAAAAGCCTTCGACTAAACTGAGTGTTTTCAAGCTATCAGACTCAAAATCCAAAAATCTATTTGATTTGTCAGAATCAATTCAAATGTTTACAAAAGTTGCTGGAACTATTTTAAGATATTGGATTTTGTGAAAAATAAATACGGACAGACATGCAAATATTTTGCACGCGAATTGTCTTGTTAATAAATTAAAACAAATTTTATGTAGCATTAATCTAGATTTTGGTATAGAATTCTGCGAATTATTTGTTTTAATTAAAATAATATAAATTAAATTGTTTAGAAACTCGATAAATAAGTGTAAAAGTTATTTGACCGTCTCACGCTCAAACCTAATCGATTCCGGTAAATTTGGTCGTAGTCCCACACGAAAACTGGTCTGTATATGTAACAGATTCTACAAATTATATAATTATTATGTGCCTGATGACTCCACATACATATGTATATAGGTTTCACATGCTTATCCATTCTCCTATAAAGGCAAACCAATTGGGATTTTAGAAGTCAAATCTTGGTTTAATTCCATATTTCAAGAACAGTTTGGCGTAAAATCAAATTCCTATAGAGAACTATTTTTGTATTCTATGTAAACACTAGTTGTATGTTAGAATACAGCAAAAATTTATATGGAAACAAACTAAATATTTGAAAAGATACACATCGAATTCTTTAAAAATTTAATGACATAATTTGCTTCAAAGACAGTTAGTTGGACTCTGCCACTTTTTCAACAAATCTTACTATTTACTTCGGAGATATAGAAAACAGAGCTTACGTGTTGAGCACAAATTCGTATTACAATAAATTTGCAGGGTATTGCGTATATCATAATCTATAAGGCCTCACATAAAAGAACAACAGTGGCTACTTCGAATTTTTTTTCACTATTTGCTGTTTGATTTGTAAAAATTAATAACAAAACTTTTGGGAGCTTTAAAACAATGTCGGAGCGGAAATACTATAAATATTGATTGGAAATAGTAGCTCAGAGTGCTCTTAACTACAATTGCCAATCAATGTAATATTCAAAGTCTACTCTATATGCTGCGCTTCCTTGCGAAGTGCTTATAGGGAACATTACGAATGTACGAAAAACTAATCTTAGAGCGAAACAAAGCTAGAAATTACGTTTTACGTATTACTGTTATGTAGGCGATGCGACAAGGCGTTGTGGCTTCAGACATTAAGTGCTCGCTTATAATATGATTTTGGACGTACGAATATGTCATATGAATGGACGAGAAATAAATATATAAGAAAAAACTTTTTGTCAAAATAACATTTTTTAATTTTATAAAAAATACAATTAATTTAATAAATGTACATAGAAGTGTTAACTAAAAAACGTTTAAGCTAAAAACTCATGTAAAGTTTATTTATTAACGAAAAGTAAGAAAAAACTCCTTTAAAGTAAAAAATTTAAGTGTATAAAATAAATTTCTTTTATTAATTTTTTTTTGCCATCTTTAATACAACCATATTAAGTATAACCTAAAAAATGTACATAACATTAAGAACTAAACAGCGGAAATTTATGGGCAATGGTAAAGAGTTATGAGTTTTATGAGCGGTGAATAATTAAGGTTTAGTCTATGTGTTTCATTTGTTTTTAGTTCTTTCGAGGACGGGCAGATGTGAATTTGAGGGCTAGAAAAAAGTTTGCGCAGAAAGTCTATAACTATAAAAACGTACATTATATATTGCAATATCAGCGCTTTTACTTACATGGCTAACAGCTTGGGTTTTGTTTTAAGATTTTACATACGATTTTTAAATAATGTTTTATAACTTTAGTTCATTTACCATGAAGTTTTATAATCTAATTTATGTTTAGGCGTACTACTAAGACGCGTCAATAGAAGGCGCATCCATTATATCCCATATATAGTACATATATTTATAGATTCGTGTTCAAAAATCGTAAAACATTTCGTTAGCTTTCGCTTCTCATATTTTTGGTGCAATTAAATTTTACAAATAATTTTTAAATTACAATATACTTTTTTGTTTTGTTATGTTTATTCTAATGCGCTCCACATTTAGTATCATATATAAAGTCTTTCGTTTTTTAAATAAATTTCGAGTGTGTGTGTGAGTGAATGAGTCAATGTTTTATAGTAAAACTATAAATCATTAATGTACGTATCATTTGCACTTCTGAGGGTATACAAAACATTTCTGAGTACTTGCTATGAAAACATTTTAAAAATATGTATTGCTAGATTCGGTTCTTTGTTATGTAGAAATTTCACCACTAAACACAGAAAAAAATACATACACAAAACGATTTCGAGTTAATTACAATTAAAAAATAGATTTATATATAAATATATATAGACAGGGCTTTCAATCTTACTGCTCGTTTCGTTTTCTTTTTTGGATCAACCAAGAGTCGCCATTTATGTGAATAATGGTAAATGGTAGAAGTCGAACCCTCGATAGCCCTTCGCGGCCAGCCAAATATAGACGACGTGATACGCCCCAGGTATAAAGCAAATAAGTCCAGCAACAAAGAATACAACACCCTGTGATGTATTGTGTGGATCGGCGATAGCAAAGGTGCCCATCACAAATAGACCGGTGCCAACAATCAGCAATGTGAAGGCGGCCAGAACTGTGCGCCAATTCTCACGCACCTTCGGATGCCGCCAGCAATATGTGTTCGTCTCCTCGGTCGGCAAATTACCATATTCTTGTATCAGCGAGTCACTGTCCCTTGAGGTTGTGTCTTCGGTGTATTTGTTATAGCCTCTGAAGCATTGTTATGTGGGGGAAAGGAAAATGATGAAATTTAATTAGTGACCCGCTTATCAGTGATACAAACACATTCGGATTATCATTGCTCGTTTATTTATTTTGCATCGCTGGATCGCTGCCAAGCGCAATGACGCTGTCTCGCAAAGATTACACTAAAAATTTGTAATCAAATAAAATGAAAAAAAAAAATACATGTGTGTGTGCATATTGCCAAAGGTAAGAACGAAGCCGTACAAATGCACGCGATTGCGAATGCGTTGTTAACTGGTTGGGCCGCCGCCGCTTGGCCTTCGAGTGCGGTCAACGGCGACGCAATGACGGGAATACATTAGACGTCGGGCATGTTATTTAAGAAATATGGTAAATTATACCATCTATAGGTATGAACAAAATTTATGCGCAAAATATTTTTCAATTGAATGCCAAATAAGTCGGCCGCCAACTCAATATATAAGATAGGGGGCGGAGGGGACTTCCCATTACCAATGCCCGCCAATCAGACAGACTTATAGTAAATCCCATAATTACGTCGCTCGTTGCTTTTTGCCTTACAACACGCCATGCATGCATAATGTAACCACTAACCAGTGGCGAGTAGTTGGAAGAATAGAGGCACGAGCATGGAAAAGAAATGGAAAAGGCTGCATGAATAAAAGAGGAACACGCGCTAAAATATATGCAAATGTGGTCAATTTCCGCCTAGGAAGCGGTAGTAACGCTGCCCTTTAATGAAACGGCGCGGCATAGCCGACCAAGCTGCAGTGTAGGGTACAACATACACTTGTCATGCACCACATTGTTGTTGATCTTTTTGTAAAGCAAATGCAAATAAACAAAAACAAGTCAGCAGTTTAACAGTCATACGAAGAAGCAGCGTGTCAATTAATTTAAATAGCAGCTTCCTTGTTAAGTGTCCATTGAACTGCGCACGATATTCACAATAAACAACAATAATAACAGCAGAGGAGTCTGAATCACCAAACGAGCGCGAACCTCTTAAATGGTGTCAGTCTGCATCTTGGTCAACGCCAACACCTGCTGCCCACGCAAGCACCAAACAGAGCCAGTCTGCTACGCATCCGCAGCCAGCAATACAGGCGAACCCGTTTTGCTTGGGGACTTGGCTGGACATACATACATACATACGTGTACATACATATGTAACTTACTTTGGATCCTGTATGCGTATGGAAACATCTTCGGTGGAGCGGCCTTGTTTGGCGCTCCCACCCCGCATTGGCGTTGATATCACTGTGGAGCCATACACCCGTATGGCCTCGTCTGTTTCTTCTTCGAAAGCGTCGTGTATTGTGAAGCCGTGGCCCCGTGCGCCGTTGTTGTACATACTGCTGCCTTCTTTGGTGGTGCTCGGTTTGTTGTTGTTGCTATTTATATTATTTCTACTATTAATATAGTAGTTTAACGTAAAAGAACTGCCTGCGCGATTTTTCAGTTATCGACAAGGCAGACCGCGCGTCTATTGCTGCACTTGCTGCATTTTTCGACACATTAAACCAGGATTGTTAACTTTTTGCACCGAATATTCACGCAGTATGTAATGTGTTTTTCTTTTACACAAAGATAATGTGCAGTAAGAAGAAGAATATTGGACATGTTAGTGGTGGGTGCAAGCCTTGTAAAAACATATCGGCTCACGCAAAAGTTTCACGATTAAACTAAATGGATATTCTCTTCCCAATATAGTTCGTTCAATTATGAAATAAATATGATCAAATTACTGGGGAAGATGTATAAAGAATGTAAAGAACGCTATGGTTTTACTTTTTTAATCTCGATTGAGAGAATATAAAATGGATGTGTCACGACCACCAACTCTGGATGTGTTAAAAATGTTTTAGCCTTACCAGACTGTCAAAAACTTTATGACGTAGAGTGTTTTTATTTTTGATGAAACTCGATTTTACTGTTAAAACAAATTGTGAAATATCGTTATTAAGCACACCAGGAACTATAAAAGCTCATCAGCATGTCACGTCACAGGATTGTACGTACCATGGACTATAACGACGAGTACGACGGCTATGACGACGTCTACGGGCATTCTGTGGACGACGAGTGCATCTCGCCGACAGATGCTCAGCAATGGCTCTATGATCGGGCACGGGGACAGCAGAGTATGTCGGCTTTCATGAGTAAAAACAAGGACATTAAGGAAGAGGAGGAGGATGAGGACGACGATGAAGCCTACCAAAAGGCAAGGCGAGATTCTGACAACTTTCAGATGCCAGTGCTTGATGAGCTGGAGCAAGCCCAGCTTAGTTCCTGCGTTGACGAAGTTCGCAGTGTCGTTGGTGATGCTGTGTCAGAGCGTCTTATTGTGGAGACTTCCATGCGCTTTGGTTACGATATACAGAAAATACTTGATGAAATCTTGAACGAGGAGACCAATAAAAATGAGAAGAGATCGCAGAAGTTCAAATTGAACAATGCACCAACAACAACAACAACATCTATAACGAAGGCTGCAACGATGACCACACCGAAACCAACCTCCGCTTCGGCGGTCACTACTACAAAGGTTACATTGTCAACACAAAAAGAAGCTCGACGTGGCTTCGACATTGCATCTCCAAAAACCCCTGCCTCGCCTGTGCTGTCTGGTCGAAACACGCCTGTAGACGTAAGCGGGGATGATGTAGCGCGCAACGCTGCAAACACTTTCAAAGTGTCCAAGGATCAGGCTCAACGGAATGCCAAACAACTGTACGAAAAGGAACGGGCCGACCAAAAGAGTCAATTTCATATGATTGTCATTGGCCATGTGGATGCTGGCAAGAGCACTCTGATGGGTCATCTGCTCTACGACACTGGCAATGTCTCACAGCGCGTAATGCACAAGCACGAACAAGAGTCCAAGAAATTGGGAAAGCAGAGTTTCATGTACGCTTGGGTGCTCGATGAAACAGGCGAGGAGCGAGCACGAGGTATTACCATGGACGTTGGCCAGTCGCGCATTGAAACCGAATCGAAAATAGTTACACTCCTCGATGCCCCTGGTCACAAGGACTTCATACCAAATATGATTTCGGGCGCAACACAGGCCGACGTAGCATTATTAGTAGTGGATGCGACACGTGGCGAATTCGAGTCTGGTTTCGAGCTGGGTGGACAGACGCGTGAGCATGCGATTCTAGTGCGTTCGTTAGGTGTCAATCAGCTGGGCGTTGTCATCAATAAACTGGATACTGTTGGCTGGTCTAAGGAGCGATTCACAGAAATTGTAAGCAAATTAAAAGCGTTTCTCAAACAGGCAGGCTTTAAGGAATCTGACGTGAGCTTTACACCCTGCTCTGGATTGACCGGCGAGAATCTAACAAAACGGGCACAAGAGCCGGCTTTAATCGTTTGGTACACTGGTCCGCATTTGCTGGAAGTTATAGAGAATTTTAAGATTCCCGATCGAGCCATTGATCGACCTCTGCGTATGTCTGTGTCGGATATTTATAAGGGCACTAGCTCTGGCTTCTGCATTTCTGGGCGCATAGAGACGGGCGTGCTGTGCGTAAATGATAAAGTCCTTGTTGGTGCAAGTCGTGAACAGGCCCAAGTGAAGGCCCTGACGATAGACGAGCTGTCGCAGTCGAATGTTTTTGCTGGCGATCAGGTAGCCGTTACGCTAGCAGGCGTGGATGTAAACAATATCACAGTTGGCTGCATCATATGCGACCCGCAGACGCCCATACCAGTGACAACACGCTTCCAGGCGCGCATAATTGTTTTTAATGTAAAGGTGCCAATTACAATGGGTTATCCAGTGTTATTGCATCACCAGTCGTTAATTGAACCGGCCACTGTGTGCAAACTTACGGCGCTCATCCATAAAAGTACCGGAGAAGTTGTAAAGAAAAAGCCACGTTGTCTGGGCAATAATTCCTGTGCTCTCGTGGAAGTGGAGACGTCTCGGCCCATTTGCATTGAACGATACGCTGATTTCAAGGAGCTGGGTCGTATTATGATGCGTGTGGCTGGTGTAACGATTGCCGCTGGCATGGTCACTAAAATACGTTGAGAGTGCTTATTTATTTTTACGAAATTTTAGTTAAGTCCCAATGCTATTTTGTTTTTGCTATGCAAATATATTATACACACATTTCAAAATTAAAAACAAAACGGCTGCAATGGACGTAGTCATGTGCAATACATTTATCGTAGTGCTTATCGTTATCGCTGCGAATGGCAGCACCCACGAGGACCCAGTCTGGCAGCACTAGATGAATCATTGAGTTAGACATAAGCATAAGCGCCGAATAAAGAGTTTGTTTGCTTAAAAATTAAGTTGTTATAAATAAAAATTTACATATTTCGCGGTGCAGTAGTATTTCAACTTGCACACACATTTTCGCGAACCGTGGGAAACGGACTTAGATAGGAAAACGAATTGTGCGCAGCAACAGCAGCCAACAAAGGTAAATGGATCTACACTTTCTGCAGTTATAGGCCAGCAGTAACGCACTGCAGGGACCCCGATCAAGTGTTAGTGAAAATAAATATTTATCTACAAAAAATGCAATTATTAAATTGGAAAAACAAAACTGTTTTGCAATGGTTGTGAAGCTGTTTAAAAATTGTTTAAAATTATTTAAAATGTTAACGATATTTAATAAAGCCACGCTGTAAAGTGAGATGCTTGCTGGTGGCAGTGACAACAGCTAACTGCGCCGGCTAGCTGGCAACTCTTCAAAATGAATCATAAAAAGTTGAGGGGTAGAGCGAGAATACTTTGTCCGTGAATATTCACTAGCAATAGACAAACCAAAACGAATTTAAAGTGCAATTCAATTTAAAGTTATTTTGTTTTCTTGCATTCCACAGCACTAAATCGCAATTGCTACAATAATATAGGTAACAGTTTTGATAAAACGGAAGTTGTCGTAGTCATTGTGTGTCGCACATACATACATACATTGCGAGCAAGCGAGCCGCATCAGCAGTAAGTGCCCCACTATCAGCTACAACAACGCGCTACAAATTTTCTTTTATCGCTGAAACCGAAAGCAACAATTGACGACAACCACAACAACAACAACGGCAGCAACAAACGACAAACACGCACCTTTACAACCAACCCAACAAAATTAAAAGGCTGAGAGAGAAGCAAAATCTACGGCACACAGACACACATAGACATACACAAATTCAAAAATACCAACGCGCATAGAATACAAAGTTTGTTGGTAAAAAAAAGAAAAAATACGGCACAAAGGTTATCATAACAACAAAAACAGGAAAGACACAAGTGAAATTTACTTTAACAAAAATAATTCTACAAGAACTGCAACTGCAACCCAAAAGCAATCGCCGAACAACGCCTAAACTAGTGATTTTTTGTGCTAAGCGCAAGAGAGTGAGAAGAGAGAAAAACGCAGCAGCCGCAGCACTAGCAACAGTTCAACATTTTTGCACAGCAGCAACAACAAGAGCTATACAACCACAACAAAAGCAACAACTGAACCACCTCAACCACCCGCCTACGCAAGTGATTACTACCTGCGCTAAATTTAAATAAAAACAACTACAGGAACAACAGTCGAAAGTAACAGAAGCATCGCCCTCGCCCACAATCGTGCAGCAGTAGGTAGCAACAACAACAGCACCAAAAGCGACATAATGCGTGAATATAAAATTGTCGTGCTCGGCAGCGGCGGTGTAGGCAAATCGGCACTTACAGTGCAATTTGTTCAATGCATTTTTGTAGAAAAGTACGATCCCACCATTGAGGACAGTTACCGGAAGCAGGTGGAGGTAGATGGCCAGCAATGCATGCTTGAGATACTCGACACTGCCGGCACAGAACAATTCACCGCCATGAGAGATCTCTATATGAAGAACGGCCAAGGATTCGTGCTGGTCTATTCGATAACGGCGCAGTCGACATTTAACGATTTGCAGGATCTGCGCGAGCAAATCTTACGCGTCAAGGATACGGACGATGTGCCCATGGTGCTGGTTGGCAACAAATGCGATCTTGAAGAGGAGCGGGTAGTCGGCAAGGAATTGGGTAAAAGTTTGGCCAATCAATTCAATTGCGCCTTTATGGAGACCTCAGCCAAAGCCAAAGTGAATGTGAATGATATTTTTTACGATTTGGTAAGGCAAATCAACAAGAAGTCACCCGAAAAGAAACAAAAGAAACCGAAAAAGTCCCTATGTGTTCTGCTATAAGACTTCCAAAAAGATAAGAGAAAAACCTAAGTAAAAGTAGAAAGTTCAGTTTTTTTCTAAAAAACAGAAGAATGAATACAAATACAAAACAAAAACAAACAAAAAAAAGAGAGAAAGAAAAGAAATCCAGAAAAAGGAGATTGGTAAAATTGCGAGTAAACATAAACTACTTAAAGCAAAATTAACTGACAAGTTTTTAACTGTGCAAAATTTTTGTAATTATCACTACATTATTATTGTATTGTTCAAAAAGGGCGCTAACCAATTTGTCCAATAAATAAAGCCATTTCGATATTGAAGTGGTTTTATTTTCTAAGCTATGAAATTTCATAATATATGAAATTATTTGGGCAAATTTTTCCACCCTCTAGAACTTATCCTTTGTCTTTGTGTAAAATTCTAAACACACACACACACACATTTATATATATACACAAACAAACAAACACAAACTATTCTGATTATTAACAATTAATTATTATGAATTATTTAATACAAATATTTGTCGTTCGTTTTTGAGCCGTTTTTTTGGAAAAATTTTACAAAGATCGTTAGACATTCGTAACATAAACAAAACATTCGTATTTATTTGATTTCCTCATTTTACAATTTATTTACAAAACAAAGAAACACAAATAAGCCCGCACAACATTACAAATGTCGTTGCTCGTCTACCATGAAAAACGGGAAAAATCAAACTAAATTAATTGTATGCCTAAACCTAAACAATAATAAAAATGAAAACATACAAAAAAGATGAAAAAACGATGTCAAAATGTTGCAAACAAACAGAAAATCCATTTTAGTAATTAGTTTAAAACAAATTTACAAATTGTAATTGTTTTAATGATCAATTTCTGTGTAAGTAAAATTAAAAAATTTGCATGAAATTGCACATCAACCATACACACATATATATAACACGCATTTACAAACATATAAACATAAAACATATACACAGACACTCCGGCATGCTCGCAGAGCACGTGAAACCTATAATTTAAAAATGTATTTTAAAACATACAATTGTAAACAAAGCCAATACAACAGCATACAAGATGACATACACATACATATATATACGTACACACACACACACACGCTCACTTGCTGAGAGATATAGGAAAGAAAACATTCACTAGAGATAACGCAAGTTGAATTTGATTGCAATGCAGAATGTAAAACAATTTAAATCCTGTTATTTAACAAAAATAAAATAAATTGATATATACATAAATTAAATTAAAACAAAAGAAAGTTTATAAGCATGAAATTGTCGTCGATCCAAACGAACTAAATTTATAAATACATATTTCATAATAACAAATATAATACATAGACGTACCATATGCCCTTAACTGAAAGTCAAAGTCAAACAGCCAACCAAGAAAAACCCAAATTAAATGATAAAGAAATCAATTTTGAATAAAATAATGTAAATTGCTGACGTCTCATGGCCAAATCATTTGCATCAGCATCCTAAATGCTCATCAGTTTCTCATTGCATTATCTCAAATGTTTTGAAGTATTTGGAAGATAAAACAATGATTAAGTGATTAATATAGGACGAAATGCTGATGTCAATGCTCCTAGGACCACTTTCTCATGAATCAGGTAACTTTAAACAGCATTTAAGCTGAGAGTTCTCTATACAAAATCTGTCAGCTTAACTCCTGACCAGAAGACTTAACTGATGCATGAAAAAATTGTCCTTACAATGAGAGCTCAGCATACCATAATAAAAACGTGTGAAAAGTAATTGAAATAAATTTATTATCTTTTAATTATTAATAAATGAATGTATTATGATTATGTTTACAAAATATAAAAAAAAACAAATAAAAATTAAATAAATCCATGTAAGAAAAATGGTCATGTAATTTTTTTAAACTTAAACTACAGATTCCTCATCAAAAAAAATAATTTGTCTTTCGGCTTTACAGTATAGCATTTAATACAAGCATTGCTTTATTCCAATAGTTTTCAAGTGTTTATATATCAGCAAGGAAAGATACGATTTTAGCGATCGCATGATATTAAGATATGTTGTGTTAACGTTCACATTGAAAGAGCACCTATGGGATGGATTGCGAAATAAATTATAAATGCAGAATCTTGGTTCGAAAGTATTTTATTAGCTGTATTTCATACTTGGAATATAATAGGCAAATACCAGATTAATACAACGCCCGAAAATCGTAAGCTTAAGACGGGGTTTTGTCCACTACATTGGGAAATGCCAATATTGATGTACTTCATGGACAAAATATTTAATAATAAGGGGTAGGCATTTGAATATGTATTATTTTAAAGCCCACAATTTTCAAGCATCATATAAGCGTATTAATAGATTTAATTAGTTTATGTATAATACAATTACATACAATCAAATGGCTTTAAGAATTTTAATAATTTCTGCTAATTTTATGCACTCGTTTTGTAAATTTTTGTGTGATAACTTTGAATAATTTAGACTCTACTTCTCAACGTCCGATCAGATATGATCCGCATAGATTTCTTACATTAAAAAGTTGAATAGTACCGCACATTAAAAAAATTGTTGCAAATTAAATTGGCAACCTGATCGGCCATTGAGAGGCCAGGCCTTAGTCTGCTCTGCTTTTAGTTTACTTTTAGCTTATGGTTTCTATAATATCCACTGTTGATATGGCATTTTAGAAAACATTATTCTGCCGCTCTTCTAAGTATATGTGTATGTATAGTATACGATAGTTTATGCAAGAAGCTTACTCTTGATTAAATGGGGTCGGGGGGCATGTAAAGATACAAATATTTCTCATTACTGTACAACTTGTGGATGTTTGAGTGCACTTGAATTGCCGTTTGTTTAATGACTAGTGTTTTGAATTAAATATATGTATGGTTTACGTGTAAGAATAATTGTTTTTGTTCTTTTTTAGGCGATGTTAAATTATTATAAATAAACGCTTTCGTAATCAGTCCAACTCCATGTTCAAACGAACAAGCAGCCTTTAAGCTGCCACCAAACATGGCCGAAAGCCGCATTTTAAAAATGTTCATAATAAAAAATCCAGTAAAACTTAATTACGCTAATTTGGCAACAACGAAAAAGTTGTAGGTAAAAACTTATACATGTACAGATATTAGTATTAGTATATATATAGACGTATTCGCGGATAATATGTATTGCACTGTTTTGAGTTACTGGGTTAGAGGGGGAATAGTAGGGGAAATTGCACTTTAGGTTATTACGCTTAAAACAACTTAAAAACTACAATCATACATACATATGCGTATTTATGTATAGCGTCATTTCTGTGGAGATTTTTCTTGGGTATGCTGAGATTGCTACGTAAAACGAGAGATTACTAACGCACATATATATACCACCTTATGTACCTAGAAGTAAATATATGACCTTGACGTATGGCCCGATGAGATAAGATAACAAACAATGAGACGCGAATCGTCGCCATTTACTTGCGCAACTGCAATTGCCCTTGATGCTGTTGCTGAGATTGCTGTGCATTCTGCTGCTGTCGCTGATTATGATGATGGTGGTCCTCATCGTCGCTGGGTTCCTCACGCAAGGGCAACGAATCAATCTGCTTTGCGGTCGTTACCTTTTTGTTGCGTTGCCAGGTGAAGACGCGCGCCATTTGTAGGAATTTCTTGCGTGACATCTTGCCCATGTTCTTAAGTCGCTCCTTAAATGCCGCATCATCCTCGCCCTTAGCCTTGCCGCTCTGCTCCTTCTCTAACGCGTTCATAAAGTCTTGATTCCAGCGCAATTGATTCATGAACTCCTCGTTCTGCAGCATTAGGGCGAATTGCTCGTCGGGCAGTTCAAAGTCCTGCTGTCCAGCAACAGGCGTCACACGCAAAAATCCCTGAGGCAGTGCACCTAACATAGGCGGATTCCAGCGCCTTGGAGTGCTGCTGTTGGACAGGGTGACCATGTGACTACGCTTTGTGGGCGTATTGCTGTTGCTGCTTGTATTCAACTTGTTCGATGCACCCAGAGGTCGTTGCTTGGGCGAGGCGCCCGTATTGTGATGGTTCGGAGAAGCGACAGCTGTGTTGAGCAGTGTTGTGCTATTTGCGCTTGCCACGGCGCTCTCTGTGCGTGTATTACTGCCCACGCCATCCGTTGTATCGATGAGTTGCTCCGTTTGTTGAGAGCCAACGACCGAGGCATTTCGTCGTAGGTCTTTGTCCGAATCGTTCAGATTGATGAGACTCTGTTGTGGTGAGACATTAGCGTCCAGTTCATTTCGCAGTTTTTCGTTCTATGCGTTTCATGCGGTTAGTAGTTGTTAGTATACACAAACAAATGTGAGCCTTGATGTGCCGAGCACCAACATACTACCTACCTGGTTATCCGTTGACATGGCCAAAAGTTGGTCTATTGTTTGGTCAACTGCGCCGAGATTCGCGCGAAGCACAGCTTCAATTACTTCGCGATCGATGTCAGGGAACATCTTTTTGAAGTCGGCCATGGCCTGTGAGAACTCCAACTGCAGAGTCGATGTAGCCATGATTTTTTATCTCTGCAATTCTACCCTATATTTTTGCTACAGCTGGACAGATGACAACTACACGATAGTTGGTATTATTCTAATCGATATCTCTGTCATCGCATATGTATCGATGTTTAAATGGTTAGTGCTGGAAAGCGTTTATTCGACGGACGTCCATTCTAGTATGTGGGTAACGGAAATTTGATGCTGCGACACAATAGTTAATTTCTTTTCAAAATTAATAAGCAAACCCAAATAATATATTATAGGTGCAATTAACGAATCACTTTATATTACGAAATCTTTTTTAGAAGTTTTGCTTTTATCTTTTGCCCATATAGAAACTGAACCAGTTATTACTGCTTTGTACTAGCATATTTCTATTTTCTTTTTGTGTATGCACTTTTTAACGCGAGTACATCATCGGTCACGTGATGCTTGTGACAATTAGCCGGCCTCCGGCGCACGTGCGCCAATTGTTCCGGCATGAAATCGCAAATTTGCTGGCTCTTGATATTTTTCTTTCGTTTTTGAGCGTTTAATAAGTGTCAATTAGCGCTGATATGTCTGGTGCGTGCTTATGTATGCGTTATTGTCTGTGACAAAGCTTATCAATCTGTTATCAGCGGTCAGACAGAATACCCACGAAGTTTTTTTTTATGGGTGATGTAACCATACAAATTAATTTAAGCGCAAAGTCTACAAGTTATAGTGGGTGGAATTATCATTCGATTTCAAACCATGCATCCAATCCATGCATCATGAATTAAAAATAGAACTGCAGAGTGTATGCAAATTAATAAGTATTTGCATCGCTAAATAAGACCTAACATATTGAAATTACAAATGTATTTCAATAAGTTTGCTAATTGGAACCGTAGCTTAATAGTTTACATCAATTCTTTTGACAAATTTAAAAATACAAAGTGTCTTGTTCTCGTAGCCAAAAAATCACGTGATGTAATTCTTGAACAAATTTCATCATTTAATTCTTGCTGCTGATTTGCTTGAGAGCATAAAAGATAACGTTGGGTGGTTATCGGCATCAAGTACCTACAGTATGTATTAATTGTCTGGAAGCTGTGCAAGAGTGAATGCTATTTTCTATTTTAAGCGTCTTTTTTTATGCGCATATTTTTTATATTTAATCTGTCGCAAATAAATTTGTTATCATTATGTGATCGGTTTCGGTATGTTAGGATTGCAATATCCGTCTAAGGTTGCAACATCCGTTCATCTCATATACTTAATACGGTCGGCATTGACCTACATAACTTTCTAATTTTATTTGTTCATTAAATAGTTGGTTTTCGGAACTGATGAATATAGGTTTTCATAAAAAATGGACATGGAAACGAAAATCATAAAAATCTTTGCAAAAATGCGGGTCATTGACTATTTGAAATCTTTTTACTGCCATCTCTCTTCTATAATACCTTGAACACTTCTCATAAGAGAGTAGATAAGGGTATAGAGGCGCTAATCATAATAGTTCAATGATCATTAGCTTGCTTTTGTAAGAGGTGTATTGCATACGCCACAAAATCAAGCCAGCATAATCCATTCCGCAAAACACCTACGTCATGTGGATAAGAAGTGGGTGTATAACTTGTGGACATGGATTTTACATACATATGTACATATTGAAATATATGTAAATACATACATACAAATGTAAGAGTATATATTTCTAGCGATATATATCTATAGATTTTAGTTCAGAAATTGATCATACTCCATAAAATAGTAAAAATGAGATAAATATTAAAATGCTAATATTACACAATTTGCAACTCTAAGGCGAGTGTCCCGTTTTTGAAATACTCTGTACATAAGTATGTGTAGAATAATTATACAAATTTTTTAAATTAAAAAAAAAAGAATTGTGTCTATGTGTGACCATGTCAGTAATACAGAGTTGTGAAACTGCAACAGCGACAGCAACAGCTTCGGGCAGAGATCAGACTTATGGCTGTAACTTCCGTAGAAATCGGTCTATAATGATAAAACTTGGCAAACGGTTAACAAAACTGAATGTATTGCTAAATTTCAACACAATATTCTAATCAAAAAAAAAAAAAATTGTTAGAAGTGGCATCACTCAGGTACTTGGTATGAGAATCGCGGATGAACGCTGCAATTTTTCACAAATACATTTATTTAATTTCCACAATTTTTTCACGGACTCGAAACAATTAAAAAAAAAATCATTTTGAAGCTAGAAATGTCATCACTTAGGTACTTGGTATGAGAATCGCGGAGGAGGGCGGTAATTTTTTCACAAATATATTTAATTAATTTCCACAACTTTTCACTAAATTTGGAGGGCTTTATTTAATTTGAAAAAATTAGAAATGCCATCACTTAGGTACTTGGTATGAGAATCGCGGAGGAAGGCTGTAATTTTTCACAAATACATTTATTTAATTTCCACAATTATTTCACTGAATCAAATTAATTAAAAAACAAATAATAATAATAAAAGTCAGAAATGCCATCACTTAGGTACTTGGTATGAGAATCGCGGAGGAGGGCGGCATTTTATTCACAAATATAGTTATTTAATTTCCACGATTATTTCACTGACTAATTAATTTAAAAAACAAGTAGAAAATCTAAAGTCGGGTGGTCCGACTTTAAAATACTCTGTACATACAAGTATATGTAAATGTACAATCATACACAATTATAGAAATTAAAAAAGGTAATTTCCAAAATACACATTTTATGCGTATTCATATAGTGCATCAGGGTCTAAAATGTGGTGTCCCTATGCCTTATAGTCTCTCTGAGGCGAACGGCATTACGGAAAAATCCCATTATCGGGCAAGTGGGTGGAAAATCAAAAAAATAAAACAAACTCGTATAGCGTACACACATAAGGCATCTTTGTGCAAAATTTGGTGTCTCTGAGGTCCAGGTGTATATGTACATATATATGTATATACTTTGTGGGGTCTGCCACGCCTCCTTCTACCTGTTACGTTATGTAAAGAACTCGAATAGGGTAATATTTTTTGTATTAAAAAAAAAATAGAAAAAAAGAGAAAGCATATTCTTAAAAGACAGTGTGCTATAGAAAAAATCGAGCTACTTATAACAGTCGGGAAATAACTGTTGTTGGTAAAACAAGGAATTGCAAAGGAAACGAACAAAGACAAAAGCTCTTAGCATAGATTAATACATTATGGTTTAAAATGTAGCATTGAGCTAAGTACACCGCTAAAAATATGCTTTTCACCTTTTGGCTGTTCACTTTTTAGGATTTTCGAGATTTGTAGAAAGTGTTGATTTTTGTTTGTAGTAATTATTTTATATACCCTCATTTTTTTTTTCAAACAAAAACTATTGTATACCAAATTGATTTTTAATCGTCTACTAGTAAGAATAAATTAAATGTTTATCGAGATATCGATTTTAATTATTTTTGTTGGCTACAATCCAGAAATTGTACTAACAAACCCTACTTAACCATTTAAATCAATTAAAAGAAAGTTTTTGTAAGGGAAGGGGGACATTTTTTTTTGCCGAATATTATTTTATATACCCTCATTTTTTTTCCAAACAAAAACTATTGTATACCCAATTGATTTTTAATCGTCTACTAGTAAGAATAAATTAAATGTTTATCGACATATAGGTTTTAATTAATTTTGTTGGCTACAATCCAGAAATTTTACTAACAAACCCTACTTAACCATTTAAATCAATTAAAGAAAGCTTTTGTAAGGGAAGGGGGAAATTTTTTTTTGCCGAATACTTCAATAAGTTATTATTAAAATGTATGTAAATAATAAAATAATATACTAATACTACTTTAATATTTATTTATTTTTTACGGAAGTTTTTAACATATGTAATACATTTTAATTTGCTAACTGAGAACATATATATATTTAAATTATTTCGCACTTTTAAAATATTAATTCTTATTTTTTATGACAATTTTTAAGCTGTCGTTTTTTTTTCGCCGTGTACCCAACGCAAAGCCATAAATCTTACATTATCGGGCGATTTGTCAAAAGCGTGGCACAACAATCGTAGCTAGTCTAATATTCGGTTTTTTCATTGCTACGTGTTGAGAGAAGATTGCTGATTTGGCACAGAACATCGTCGAAAATTATAGTGTATTATAAAAATAAGAAGAAATCCAGCGTCCATCGATCGTGCCGCGAACTGCCGAATTTAGTTTGCGTGAAACGCACGAAGCGTTTAGAACGTCTAGCCGCCCGAATTATACTCCACTCCTATTAATCGTATTAAAGAAAATCATTACTCTATGAGAGACGGACCAGAAGATTGAATTTTAAAAGTATAATTAGCTGAGAATTAGACACTTGAAGCACGTGTGTGTACTCAACCACCCACCTGGACATTTGAAACGCCCACAGTGGGCAGAAAATTACCATAACGAAGTCAAAAGTGTCGTCGCTGCTGCCGTCGTTGCCACAGTAGTGGCCGCAATCGTGGTCGCTCGTTAACTGGTAGCTTTACATGTATATGTTGCCTGTTTGTGTCGGCCAGTGTTTGTGTGTGCTAGCGAACTCAATCGTACCTGTTGATTTACCCTTTTTGCGTCGGCCTTAATGCTGTCATCGCCTATATAAACAAATGCGCGCAAGGGATTTGCGTTTATTCTGCATTGTAACTGCTTATGGTTAAGAATTGTCGAGCGCAATTCATAAAACAAGTGAAAGCTAATAAGTGAATATTTAGTGAACTGAAGATTGAGTGCAAAGTACAGTTTTAAAAAAAAACTGAGCGCTAAAAACCGAAAGGAAAGAGAAAAGAAATATAAGCTACGTGTCATTTGGTGCCTTTCTTGAAGGTGAGTTTTAAAATTCAAATTGTCACTGCTCAGTTAAAAACTGTGCATTGTTAGGTACACGTATTAGTTAAAAGGGAGAAACAATAGCAAAACAATATATTATAGAAGTTGTAACGATTAATTATTTGGTTGTTAAAATTAAATTGTAAGCTTTTAATTATTATGATTACGACAGAAAGTAGAGAGTAAATTAAACAGAATTTTGTAGGTATGTATTGAT